ACGAACTCCAAAACACGAGAATTCGATCCCAAACCGTAGGAAATTCTCATGCATTAGAGTACTTACTAAGTGTGACACCTGCGCAAATCGAGCTCCACACACGCTACACCGCTCACGACCCCTTCCCAAACTCATGAATCGCATGTAGTACGGGCTCGAGACTAACACTTTTTCCACGATGGGCCCAGGCTACGCGGGATCGGATGCACCAACGCCAGTGGCCGATGCCGAGACACAGGACGAATTGGAGTTTCGCATCACCCGTAAACATAAATGGCCCCATTTGGGATTCCAGTCAGTCGCACGTTTGCTTGAGCAGTTGGGATCGCCGCATGTCTGGAAACATACATACGTAAACTGTGTATGTTTAGATATGCCTGTCTTGAACAGGTATTTGGAGCCTTTGTCCTAGTACCCTTTCGTTTTGGGCTGTGCAAATCGAAAACATCTGCCTTTTTCGGGAAAGCCAATCATGCCTAAACTCTGTGTTTTAGGAACGTCTCCGAGGTTAGATAAACGCAGCTGGGATCAAGCAGCCGTTATTAAGGATCCTTATTCGGGATCCGCCACCTCCGTTTATTCCACCTGCCTTTGAACGAATTTGATGTCTGAATCTCCAAGGAGATTCCAGAAGGCTGCTTTTCCCTCGAGCAATCTGTCTGAGAATGCAGGGTCAAAGGCGTTCAGGCATGCTGCTGTCGTGATTTGGTTTGGGGTTTAGGGTTTCGGGGTCCCGTTTTGGATATTCGTGTCGAGGATTCATGTGCTCGAAATTGGGTTGGACGTTCTGAGCATCGGTCCGTCCGCGGGTTGTTGAGTACACATGGGTTTCGCACAAGTAGGTTCCCTTCCTGAGAGTTCTTGTGCTCATCGACGATCCTGCTACTTGGGGTCTCTGCTGAGGTCCGTTACAAAACTTTTCAAGCTCCCACTTTGGGCGAACTTGATGTGTTGCTGCATGCCTGCGGTGTTATCATGCGCTCAGCGCAGCCTCCGCATCGCGACCTTGAGCTGAGGGGCTGCTTATACAAAATCCGGTTGAAAGACAGCATCACCAGCAGCCAGCAGCATCAGCTGCGAAAATGTCCAGTGATCAGTATGAGAGCTTCAGCAGTCTAAGCACCACTTGCGATGTCGGTTGTCCGATAGCCAATCCAACCCGCCCTCAGCTGTACCGTCTCCAGCATCATGAGCATCAGCTTCGTCGCTACTTCTCCAAGACCTTCCTCTGGACAAGCGATCCTCAATCGTTCTACGGGTTGGCCGCAAGATGCTCCAACTGAGCATCCTGACAATCAGCAGTCACACTGCTTGTCTACGTAGCGTGGCCCCTAGTCCAGCATCACGAGCTGCTTGCCGTGACCAGGCAAAGCCTCCCCAAGTTTGAGGTCTCGTGTCATCAAGGATAATGAAGGTGTGAATAAGGTGTTTCGGAGAGGGTGTAGTGAAGTGGCGGTGTCTTGATGGGATTGGAAACCCGGTATATGTCTTTCTAAGGCAGCTGACGGACAAGCGCGTCTGGGAGAAATTGGATGTCGTGTCCACAGAACGCGCGGTACCCAGCACCTCGGGTTAAGCCGGGTTTATGGCTCAGGGCTTAGCGTAGGGTCTTTGGAGCTTAGGGCTTCAGGGTTCTGAGGTTCAAGGTGATGGAACTATTGTTCGTTTCTTGCTTTATGTGTACCACTGCTTTTGTCGTTGCTAGTCCTGAGCCCTAGGCCCTAGAGGCTGCCCCCATAACCTTGTAGATTGAACCATCTTTACTGAAAGGACGAGTAGCTTAGTAGGTAGATTTCCACTGCGGTTACAGTAAGGGCTACTTGTAAGTCCTCAGTCCCCTCAGCCTCAAAGTAGTCACTTGACGGAGCTCCTTCACCATCAACAGTTCTGACTCGGTATGCATCTTCCTCGTGTCATATGTTTTCACCAACTCTGACTCTACTCGCTTGACATGTTCACAGATGCTCGCAGCCATTCCAGGCTTTTCCGTTCGCGCAATGCCCAAAAATATGGTGATTGCGGTGGCATTTGTTGCGCGAAGCCGCTTCAAATGCCGTGCACGTGCGCTTTCGTGTGGTGGCTGCCCTCAACCTGCCTTGGATTAGAAATGGGAGTTTGAGAAAGTATGGGACCTTAACATACGCTGGAAGTACGAGAATTTTCAATATCAGCTGCACCCTCTGAAGGAATGCCGAAATCCTACCGCTTCAACCGAACTCTCAAGCCAAGCTCGGCTTTCATGCATTGAAGAAGCTGTTGTGTTCCATCCCGAGGGATGCGAGCCCTGAGAATTGAAATCCTTGAGCGTTGAAACCCCAATAGAGCTGCTCGTTCGACTTCAGTTTGGGTGTTGTCCAACTTTGCAGGTGAGACGTACCTGCCAGAGCCCATTTTCCAAAAGCTCTTTGGCATGCCAAAGGCCAAGCAGCTGACTGGTGTCGGGTTGCGTATGGCTGCCGCACGATTAGATGAGGGATTATAGGTTGTGTATAGTTGGGAAACATCAAAACCGTTCTTGAAAATACTGTGACAATTGGTGTATTCTCCTCCATCGCGAGATCGCGAGAGTTCAAAGACTAAACTTGTGGCAGGCCTCCCACCACTTGAGGTTTGGAAAGGCTCCAGGGTTCGTAGGTAGAGATCAGGGGTTAGCACCTGTTTGTTTGCTTCCAACAAAGCCTCGACATCGGCGTTTGGGTTGTAAGCCTACTATGGGAGGTTCTTGTAGGTCTGTGTGGGCTTATATGTGGGGCGCAGGCTTGCAGCTTACGGCTTTTCGTCGTGGGTTAGGGTTGAAGGCTCAGCATGTTGGAACACCGGGTTTTTCTGTATTCACGACTTACCCTGTTTGAAACTAACGCGGACACTATGGTCGTTCCCTTTTCAAAGGACAGTGCTGTAACGGGCCGTTCCAGTTACTTTTCAGCAGGGTGCTTAGTATGGCAATCTGCAACGACTACTGAAGCCGAAACGCAATACGGTGAGCCCTGAAAGATCCGAAGGACGACGAGCGTGCCAAGACGAAGGGGCAGGCTCCGATATTCCCGAAACGCCAGCCCCTACCTGAAAGCCATAGGCCCCAACTAAACCCCAAATTTTCCAAAATCCCGAATCCCACGTCCCAAACCCTTCCTGTTTAATCTCAAGAAATGACGCAGGCCGACTTCGCGAAGCTTCCAAAGTGGAAGAAGGAATCTCCGGTTCTTGATTGGGCGCAGGATTTTTGAGGTCTTCAGGTGTTTCATGTTTTAAGGTTGGAAGGCTTCTGGTAAGGCAAAAGTAAAGTTTAAGTTTAAGGGTTTAGGCATTTGAGGCCTTAGGGTTTTGGCTTGCTGATTTGCAGTCTTGGGACGGTTTGGGAGACCCATAATCATATCGTAGCCGTAGAACATCTCTATCTATCTATCTATATATATATATATATATATATACATACGGATCCAGGCGAGCTTGTGTGAAAGTTTACAGATCATACGACATAGGAGTTTCGCTCAGAGATGGTCTTCGCAAGGCCTAAAGTGTAAACGACGGTGTATGGATTAAGATCCAGGCCGGTGCAGGTTTAGGATTTAGGAGGTCGGGATTCGTATACACTTCTTCGGGCGGGATCTTGACGACACGGCATCACATAGTGTTTCCGTCACATACTGTAGACCCGCAACTCTGAGGAGTGCACTGAAACTGAAACGCCACCTGTGGAAGTCTTGACTTAGCATAGCTCCTGTTCTTGCTTGTCGTCATAGCGAGTCTCAGAAGGTATGGGTCCCTAACATGGAGGCTGCATGTAACAGCATGCAAATTACAAGGTCATTTACTTCGCCAATGGAGCAACCCTGCGCTTCGGGGTTCGTAGATCGAAGGCTTGAAGTGTTTTTTCGGTAAGCAGGAACGCTTATTAGTTTTCCAGAGGCGCTGTCCTTAGGAGAACTGGGTGGAGAGGATTCTCCAAACAACAGGGGTGTCCAAGTGGTTTGTTGGTTGTTTCTCCGATTGTGGGGACGAAGGTTTGGGTTGAGCTCGCAATTCATATGGTTCGGTGTTTGAGGTTCGACTTGACTGTTGTGGGGGCTTCATAATAATCTCATGTTTTGTCTATGGTCGTTTCTGCAGGAGAACGCCAAGAAGAAGCATGGCCTCTTCTAGGTCTTGCACGTGGTGCTGGTCACAGCAGCTATGCCTGCGACTTTCGTGACCGCCGCTGTCGCTCACCCTGCAACCAGAATGAGATCGACTTCACCCCAGACACGATAAACACTACGGCCCTATGGCCCTATACACCCCAACACCTACATCCAAAACCGCACACCCTGAAGTCTTAATGACAAGTGTGCCTGCATGGCTGCTTTAGAGCAGCCACAAAGACTGCCAGCTCTGCGACAGTTTAAAAGTTTCAAAAGCATCTCGCGTCTCCCTTGTGGTCTAGGCTCTGAGATTCTAGGGTGCAGGATTTGGGGCTGTTAAGGTCAGAGATTTTGTTGGTCATAGTTTCGGGATCAGGGATTTCCATATTCCTGCGTCATTTGCTGTAAACAGGAGTTATGGCATCCCTTAGCCGTTTCTGTAAAATGCGTAAAGTAATATTCTCCGTCTGATTTCTACGGCCTCGAAACAAGCTGTTGGATCAGCTGGCTTGCAGCAATCCTTCTGCGCGAAGACATGCAGACCCAAAAGGCCCTCCCCGTGGTCTTGGGCCCTTGAGGATGACATTACATGAAGCCTTGACGAGGTGATAGTTCAGTTCTCATGCCATGAGACTTTAGAGGGATGTTGAGGGGCTCTAGCAGTCTGTAGAGTCTCGGTTGTAGGCTGCCTTTACGGTGATCCAAGCCTCGAAACCTCAGTCCGCAATCAAATACAGTAATTACCATCCAGCCCAGGCGGTTCGGGGTTTAAGCAAGTTTTTCCTTGACGTTGCCGTCTCCCGCACCGAAGCCATTTGGTCGAATTCCAAGCTGCGGCAACCCGCTGCGTCGCACGTGCAAAAAACTCTCGCTGCAGCCATGGCCATGCCAGGCATGGCAGGCCGCTGCTTCTTTGCTCTGTGCTCCGGCTGATGTCCGTTACACTGTACAGCATCTTCCCGAAGCCCTCTTTTCTAATTGCTTGATTACAGTAAGGCCCCATGTCCTTGTGTGCAAGGACATGCTACTGTAGTTCAAGCAGACATGGAGTATCTGAATCGTATCCCAAAGCTGACATAAAGCATTCATTGAGGGCCGTAGGAGAGCCCCAAAACCCAGGATCCTGGCGCTCTTGTGCCCACCTGCGGGTGCCGAGAGCTGCGCAGCCACCACCTCGGGGCCGATGATGCTACAAGCAAGGTGCAATTTGAGCCCTGAAAGCTTCTTATATATGGTTTTCAGTGACCACAAGACCGCTTTGGAAATTACATTCAGGTGCTTTCTCAGCTCCCACTGCTAGCTTAAGGAACCTGTTCAGAGTTCCATGGTTCAAGCTTTTGGTTAGTTGTGCATACATGGCAGGAAGAAGGATGTACTCCAAAGTGACCTGAAGGTAGCCAGTAGCTGGATCTTGCGGGATTTTTGTTTTTGCACCAAGGACGATCTTGAGAAGCCCGAGCCCCAAAACCAGCAATATTTCTGAGGGCATAGGAGTTGGTGGTGTGTTGGTACGTTGTAGCGGGCTTCTAACGTTCGAGCTTCAGGGTTTGTCATAGGGCTTGAATCGATACCGCTTAGGGTGATGTTCAAGTTTCGGGGTTTGTTCGGTCCTAACCCCTGAACCCGACAGAGGTCGTACCGAGCTTTGTGTTTGGTAGGTGCTTATAGAACATATATGATTGCGGACAGGATTTCGGTTGCCAGGGATGCACCGAACACTGTTGTCTTTCGGAGGACACACAGGTTTTTATCCTCAACCAAACTGCTAGAGTGCCATGCGCAGGCGGAGCCAGCTGAACAAAAGCAAGTCGACTGAGGCCTCTCGGGTTCGGGCTCGTTGTTTTGAAACGGGAATAATTACTGTAGTAGATAGCGGTACATGCTTCGCGTCGTCCGCCTAGGCCCGGTCGCAGGCGAAAAATAGTCTCCACAGCAGGGCCCAATTAGAAGGGTCAGAGTGCACAAGACCATGTGGGCGGGGAGGGTGGGGGAGCAGGGCTTGGGGCACAGGGCTTCTTTGCTGCTGTTCAATCTTGGAGCAAATCAGGGGCCCTACGTTCCCCTTTCAGAGTCTCTGATCATGGCCCATTTAAGGGGGGCGAGGTCTCTGCCACTTCGGCAAATCAATTTGTTCAGATCGCTGAGTAAAGATTCAGCTCTCTGGGTTTGGGGTACAGATCGTGGGGGCTGAGACCCGACAGCTCCTGGTGATCGGTTCAGGGCTTCGGGAAACTTGTGAGATGAGAGCGGTATACAGCCATGGTGATGATGAAGGTGGAGATGGAAGAAGCCGAAGGTGGTGATGTGATATCGAGTGTAAGGATGATTGCTGTTTGTTTGTGGCAGTCGATTCTATTACGCTTTTCGTAGACTCCTGTTGCCTTCGATGCCCGATCTACATTTACGAACTGAATGCTTGGGTACTGTTGAGAAGTGGGTTACAGTTATGATGTGTTTCGCGACTCAAGAAGTACGTTATGATAGCTATAGACGTTTGTAATAGCTTTAGTGGGTTTCGAAATGGTATGTTCAGAGGCTGCTACTCCGAGCGTTAAAGCATCTAGTATGAGGGGGCTTGAGAAGCAGGTCAACATGCTGTTTGGTAGTACATTCGTTGACTATCCTGCACACAGACTCTACTTTAAACTTGCTTACGAAGTCTTTCAACTCTTGAGCCTAAGTGACCGCAAGCCCGTTGCAAGAGCCCTTTGGTGGGATGGAGTTGGAGGCATTCTACACGAAGCAAGTCTTCGTCTCATGCAAGGTTTCGAATTTTTCGGTTTATTGCGTTGTTTGTTGGTTTAATGCCCTGAAGGCTACACCCTACCGTTTTGCCAAATTGCTAAGCCCTTTCAGTTTGAAGGCATGGTGTTCGACTCTTAGTGTGTCGTGTCAGTTCAATACACTTAACGTAAACCCATGAACCTCATCCCCAAATTCTAAACCACAAGACACCTAGTTACTTGGTGTCCTGGCCTCTAGATCGAACTGGGAGCTTCGGAAGATGAGCAACGGCTTTATGCACCCGAAGCACGATAAAAAGTCTTGCAGCTGTCCGCCCTAACAGGGAACTCTGAGCGAGGGAATTTCAGAACCGTGCCACAGGCGGTCATGGCGACCATGGGCCTTTGGACAAAGGACATCTCGGTGGCATAGTTCGCACTGAGATATGCGCGCTTCCTGTGAACATTTCAGGGCCTGGTACCTGTAGGAGTCGACCTGACGAACATGCTGGCTCGGGCAACAGAAACATGACTTGCTGATACTTGTAGGTCATTCACTGTTGTATCTTTAGCATTACGTTACGAACTTGACACTACATGTTCGATCCAGTAAACCAGTAAGCCAGCGCGCCGAAGTTGCATCATCAATGCCTTCATCCTGCAGGTCTTTAGCAGGGTAACCAGTTATTAGACCCTCTTACGAAATCGTTTGATCCTTCGAGTACCGGCGAGCATTGCAGCAATCGGCCTGAAGCCGAGGCTCTCCGTGGCGGTTCCTGCGAATATGCCGCAGTATCGCAAGGGGGTCTGCAGCTGCCGGGACGCATTTTGAAAGGTGGATTTAGGGTAGGAGCGAATGCCAGTAAAGTAAAAAATTCAGGCACGAAAAGGTGAAGTGTAGGCGATAAGAAATGTACTACAACTAGGCAAACACAATTTCGGCACTCAAGTCAGTAACACCAGTGTGGCCATGCGTGAGAGGAATACGACATGAAGGCCGGCCGTAAAATTCAGAGAAGATGCGTAAAGTTGCGTCTTTCGTAATTACATAAGCTAACAAGGCACAAAAGGAAGATGTTTGATGAGAAGCTGCATCTGGGAGAAACGCCACGGTTTTAAGAAGCAAACTTCATTGGAAGGATACTGTGGGCAAAGTACAAGCGAACACATGAAATCATTCTTTCACCCATGCATCATGATATCGAATTCGTTTCACTTGTCATGTGCTAAATCTTTAAATTAAAGATATTAAACGCAGAGACAAAGAATGCAATGGAGCGTACTTTGTTCCCGTAAAGATCTAATCGCAGGCAAGAAGACGGCCCGTTTAGAAAATGCTTTAAGCTATGCTCTAGTCGACTCTAGTCTATGTGTACGACATGAGAGTTTGGCTTGCGTTCTTTAGCCTTGCTTAATAAAACATGAAGCATGCAGGATTTGTGTAATGCGGTTCCCGGATCCATAAGCCTCGTTTTCAAGTCCACACTACCCGTTGACTGAAGTAAAACCAGCATGAGCGAAGTGCGAAGACAAATTTAGTGCAACCGGCGGAGATACAAGCTGTCTTTATCAGATTGGTGTTATGTCCAGACGTCGGCGTAAACGATCAAAAAGGACAACATAACCTAAATAACGTGCGCTTCCATGGCCTTTGAAATTAATGTACTTGGGCTCTTCTGGTATGAAGAGCGCATCTGGGATCACCCAACACCCTGTAAGTTCTGTCCTAGTTGCAATCTGGCCTTTGCCCACGGCATGCTCGGGTTTCTTACTATAATTCAGGGTGCTTTCCGTGTGCCAGAACTAATTACGCTTTTTGCTCTTGATTCGTTGCTAGCTTGCTTAACCGGTATTGGACCCTTTGGTGTTGGCTCTCTTGCAAAGGTCGCCAGCGGCGACGAGCAAGTACCTGGCGTCTCGCGCGGTGTGCATCGCCAACCCGGACCGCATCCGACATATCCTCTGTCCATGGAGCCCTAACCCCGACAACCCAAACCCCGCAAAATCTGCTGAAGGATCTTGTGTATTTACCTTGAGAGTTTTCCAGAGTTGCCAGAATTCATGGACTTCACTTGATCATTATTCTGTTCTGGATCAATTTGTCTCCTTACTGAGCCATCCACAAGAAGAGCGATGGGAAGGCCTCGGATGATCACTTTGTCTCAGCCCCTCCCCTCTCCGGCCGCCCCCGGTGCCCGGGCATCATGAAAACTGGATCCCCAAGCCACATCACAAAGCAGAAGATTCAACTCCTTGAAACCAGGTCTCCTATATTCATATGTCTCAAGTCTTAAGTGACGGACCCTAATCTATGGAGTGCAAAACCGGCTGGATGGTCTCTTGGCAGCTACCTCAAATCCTAGCTCCGGATCCTTATGCCCGTAATACTCTGACCGTTAAACGCCCCCCGCCCCTAACTCCACAAACTCTCGAGGAGATCTACGGCAATGGTGCAGCCTGCGGTTCCTGCTGGAAGGTGCCAGCGGAGTTCTAAGTTCCTCTATTTAGGCTGTCAAGCCAAAATTCACGTTCGCTCGTATTGATTGTAGCACCGTGTATGAGCACAGGGCAACAGCGAACTATGATCTGAAGCACGAAAAGCCAAAAATGCAGGGCGGAGCCTTAGCATTAACTGTTGCTCTTCATGGCCCCTCGTCAATAAATCATATAAATGGTCCAGTGACCAGCGCGCAGTTTCACGGTGCCGGCATTCCTTGTGCAATGATGTATGGTTTATTCTAGGGGCTGCGCCCAGGTGCGGGCAGCGCGAGTTGTTGTCAGCGGATGTAGCGGGGGAACGGGAAAGACACGGTCAAAATTTCCAGACGGTGCCGAGACAACGACAGCTCGACACCGGAACAAAAGTGTGACGTAGGCCCGAAGTGCACAACTTATGGGTGATCTTACGCTCTTAGCCCTCGTCGGCCCTCCATGTAGCCCGCATCCGCCCTCCGCCGGACCCCGCTGATGCTGATGATGCGCGCCCTTTTGGGGCTTCCGCAACCCACGCAAAAACTTGGAAATCATCACTTCGCGCCCACTTCGCGCCGCGGGGCCGGTTGCCCGAGTGCTCATGATGCTCGCCGGCTCGCCTCCTGGGGTCGTCCACGGCGGCCCCGAAACCCGCCATGCCGTGGGGAATGGCTGCGAAGCGCGTGCGCGTTCCGAGACGCCTCCGGGCCAGGGCCTGTGCGGCCCTATGGAGAAACGGAGGTCCGATGATGCGGGGTCGGCGGCGGGTCGGCGGCACAACCCGTCGTGGCTTTTGCTTCGCAAGACAAGCCCATTCGTCTGAGCCATAGCTCAGTCCATACAGGGCAGCGAAGCGCTGCCCGATTTAATGGCTGCCGCCGACCCTAGAAGGAGATAAAAGACGAGCAGCCCCCACGGAGACTTCACTGTCGCTCTGCCAGAGTGCTCGCTATCAGGGGTTTAGAAAATTACATGTCATAGTGGTTTATTTGTAACATTTCTATAGTATACTAGGGTGTAGGATGCCCAAGGGAATTCTCCGATTAGCATGGCTCCTGCGCAAGGATGACACGCACGAATCGAGAAGCGTGTGGTACCAAAGTACTTGGAACGACACAGAGAAGATAAGCATGCTCCGTGCAAAGATGACACGCACAAATCGACAGCGGGAGGCCGGCGTTTTAAAGGGGTGGGGGGCGGGGTAGTAGTTGTAGGCTGGCAATAGGGTTTCGCCCTCCGTGGCGGTTAGGGTTTCGCCCTCCGTGGAGGTTAGGCGCCCTCCGTGGGTTAGGGGTTTAGGGCGCCCTCCGTGGCAGTTAGGGGTTTAGGGCCTCAGGGTTTAACAGGGTCTGGGTTTGAGTGGTCGGGTTTTGGGCTGGGTCTAATGGGGCCTGGGTTTGAGTGGTCGGGTCTGGGCTGGGTTTTTCGGGTGTAGCCTAGAAAGGCGATATGAAACTTAGGTCCGGTGCCGGTGGTGAGGGTGGTAGCGGCAGTGAGGGTGGTGAGACCGGGGGGGGGGTGCCATCTATGTGTGCGAGCTTCTGTTCGTGGCGGCTAGGGGTTTAGGGCCTCAGGGTTTAATAGGGTCTGGGTTTGAGTGGTCGGGTTTTGGGCTGGGTCTGATGGGGCCTGGGTTTGAGTGGTCGGGTCTGGGCTGGGTTTTTCGGGTGTAGCCTAGAAAGGCGATATGAAAATTAGGTCTGGTGGCGGTGGTGAGGGTGGTGAGAGCGGTGGGGGGTGGTGCGCGTGGTGAGGGCGGTGGGGGCGGTGTGGGTGCGGGGGTATCCGGGCACACATTGTCAGCCTTTAAATGCTCTCCAAACACCTACAAATACAGCAGTCAACGCGGTGGAAGTAGTGAAAGCGGTGGGGGCGGTGGCCTTGGTGAGGGCGGTGGCGGCAGTGGGGGTGGTGAGAGCGGTGGGGGTGGTGGGGGTTGTGAGGGGGGTGGGGGCGGTGGCGGCAATGAAAGTGGTAAGAGAGGGTGGCAGCGGCAGTGAGGGTGGTGAGAGTGGTGGGGGTGGTGAGGGCGGTGGTGAGGGCGGTGGCGGCAGTGGGGGTGGTGAGAGCGGTGGGGGTGGGGGTGGTGAGGGCGGTGGGGGCGGTGGGGTCGAGCACACATTGGCAGGTTTTTTATACTCTCTAACCACCTACAAATACAGCGAACTCCACAGTACTACAAGGGCAGTAAAGTGGTGTGGGCAGTGGCGGCGGTAAAGGCGGTGGGGGTGGTGAGGGCGTGAGCGTGGTGTGGGCAGTGGCGGCGGTAAAGGCGGGTGGTGAGAGCAGTGGGGGTGGTGGTGGTGAGGGCACTGGGGGCGTGGTGAGGGCAGTGGGTCAAGCGGCATCCGACAGACCAGTTTTATGAACCCCACCCCTAAAGCCAGAAGCCCTTAGCACATGGAGGCTCACCGTGAGGGCCAGGGCAGCATGGTGGTGCAGATCATTGGGTCGCATGGAGGCAGGCGTGCTGCTTCTAGACCTTACATAAACCCATCAAGCTGACACCTGCTTCGGGAGGGGCCGGCGTTGAGCCATGTCGGGTAACACGCCAGGGCCATTCAATGTTGTGGATGTTCCACGCCGGTCCAGGTAGAGGTTGGCATTCATTTCTTTGGGAATTGGACCTTTTCGTCAGGGGTCTACATGACCCTCAATCATACCAAACCTTCGTACGATGAGGAAGTCTCCTTTCAAAGTCGGTCGTAACCGCAAATCGCTACCCACCTCCTTACATCCTAGAGTCCTAGAGGTCAACAACCTGAGCCTACATCCTTATCTTCAATCGCAAAATCTCAGGATCCGAGGTCCTGGATTTTTATCTGCATTTTGTGGTATCACGGTCGCTCGGTCGGTGGTGGATTCAGCTGAGGCTGTGCGGTTAGGTAAGGCTGAACGAAACGGCCCTAAGCCAGAAACTTGAGATGTGCTAGATACTGGTGTATTGCTTGGGGAGTTGTGGGGTGTTGGGTCTTGCGAGGCTTTCAGCCATTCTTACAATTTGGTCCTGGCCGTGGTGCGCTGCAACCTCCGCAGATCGGACCGGATAGACTCCAACCATCCTCCAACCCTGCAGTGCCGGTGCCCGAATCGGCTTGCTACTAGCGGGATTACCAGGATCCAGGTCAGCAAGAGATCGGCAGATATTTCAGATCTGATAACGCAATGCATGCAACATTAGCGATGTTACTTTACTGGATCTAGTAAGCTTCTATGGTACTATATACTTTAGTACTATAGACCTATAATGCCGTATTGCCGCGTTCCTGGATCCCGCCACCTACTGTTGCCCGAACTGAAAGAGGCTCCGACCTTGGCTGCTTCTTCGATGCCTTCCGCACCATCTCGGGTGCAGACTCCGGTACTTTCGAGGTGCTTTGGGTTTCAGAGTGCTTTGAGGCTTTGAGGTTCTAGGGCCTGGGATTTTGGATTTTCGGAGTGTAGTTCTTAGGCTTACTGGTTTGGAGGGATTTGGTTCAGCGCCTTGGGCCAGGGAGTGGAAGAGGAATCCTTCCAGACTCGTCTGGGGAAGCTTAGGAAATCCTTTGAGGCTTTAGAGTTTGTGCTTTCGGCTGCAGAGCTGCGGCTGCAGGCCACATTTGGGCTCTTTGGAACTAGAATGACCCCCAAATTTGGCAACCCGCCGCAGAGCTTTTGGGAAGCCAGGTGAGCCTGGAGCCAGTCCAATGCGAGGTTGGATACTGTCATCTCTAGGTGTCGTGTCTTTGCTTTTTTGCAATTGTGTTCAGGCAACTGTTCTGAGTCGGGGTTTGGGTTTGTGGTTCGGGGGTTTGGTTTGGGGTTTGCGCTTCCGCGCTTGGGGTTGTTTACTCCTCATTTATTGTACTTTCAAAAACGTACCCTAGCCCGGAGATCTCTTCGAGTGACACTGTCTCTAAGGTTCTGCTACTCAGGGCAGTATGTATTATAGTTGCTGGCAACAGGTTAGATTGGGTCCTTCAGACTAGAGAAGCAATACTACAGAAACAAGTCCACGAGCCTCTTAGACTCTTAGCGAGGGCAGGCGCCTTAGCTTGGCCTATTGTGTAAGAACTCTCGGGTCGCATTCTCAAGGCCCGCCACAAACTTCCTTGGCTCAGCCTCATTGCCTGCCGTCGTTGTTCCGGGTTTGTTTTTTTCTGTCTTTATGGCTCTGGGATGTTTGACAGGGATCATGTGTAGAGTCTTCCATCACCCGTCTGCGCCCTAAATCCGCAACCCTTGAAGCACAAGAAGCTTCTCAGCCCAAAGCCACCCCTCAGCGTGAGAACTGTTCTTTATCATTAGGTTTCTAGTTTGACGACATTCGGCTTACAGTGAGAGTCAGGTTCGCACCAACGCGAATATTTGTCACTGCAAGTGAAGGGCTCGTTAAGGGTTGTAATCCCCTTGACTAGCCAGAACCTCCGCCTCAGCGAGATAGGCGTCCGAGAGCAAGTTGTGGGAACTAGATGTTATCACGGTTCGGGCATGAGTGCTCTGCGGCAACGCAACGCAGGCACCGGACGTCATTAGCCCCTGCACCCCACCCCACCCCAACAGCATAGAAGCAACAGGTATAGGCGTAGTTATCGTCTATAAACATGTTGTGAACAGGAACGAACAGGACGCTATCACGGTTCGCGCATGGATGCTCCACAGCAACGCTGGGTTTGTGGTGGTGCTGAGCTGTCAAGATCTTACAAACAGAGACCTCGCCAGCCTCCGAAGCGGGCCCATTTGAGGCTTCCGGCAGGAAAGTCGGTGTGCGAGGACCCACACGAAAACGCACATTTTCAGCACTCAGCAGGCGTGTGCAAACAAGCGTGCGCCCCCCTTTGCCGACATCGTGTTAAGCAAGACCACATGCACCAAAGATTCAGCACAACGTGGTAAGTTCGAGGCAATGATGCGATTTTGCCCTCAAAACCTAGAGTCGAGACCCAAGCCCTGAACCCCAGTGCCAGCAGGATACTGTAGTTTACACGACCACGACGACCCACAAACACTTGAAACCTATTCTTTCAGTCCCCAATCCGCAAACCCAACATCATAAACTCGCAAGTATATAGTCGTTCCAAAAGGTGTTAAAGCATGTGAAGCTTGGCAGGTAGCGGACGCCGGTCCAGTGGCCACAATCTTGGATGGCAACAACGCCTGGTGAGCCTTTGAGCCTTTGAGTGGTGTAGCTGGCCTTGGGGGTTTTGGATTGGGGGTTCAGGGACAGTCAATGAAACCCGGAGCCCAAAACCCTAAATCCTAAACCAAGCGCGCGAAACCCTGAATCTTAAGTTGAAGGATTCCGACGGACTGGCAGGTATACCAGAGCCATCTTCAGCAACCTGCCCTATGCCGTCGTGAAAGCTTCGATTTCGGTGGACGGTAAGGCGGTGCTTTAGGGTTGCGGGGCTGAAATTCGGAGTTCAATGGACGGACGGATTAACGCAGGTATGACGCATGTATGTAATTACGTATGTATCCTTTTTATGTTTGTAGTCATGCATGCATGTGTTGTTGCAGGGGGTCGTGTTTCCCCCTCGCATCCCTTGCAGCGGATGACAACATGAGCAATACCAGTAGGCTGACCTCCGGCATGTTGGGGATGAAGATTAGCAGAGCAGCTTCCCGAAAGACTTTTACTTTTAGCCAACAGCAGACCTGTGCCCCGAGCGAATCCTAAAAGCTCTAAGCGGAGAACCTTCGCACGCACTCCGCAAATCCACAGAAGAAGGCCACGGAGATGCAGCGCGTCTCGGGAGCAACTTGGCAGGCCCCCTCGGGATCGAGCCGAAGCAAGCAGGTCTTGGGGTCTTACCCTAACAATCCAAACACCCAAATAGTAGGGCCTTGGTAAGGTTTCGTCAAAACGCGGCACGTAAAACCCTTTCAGTCGGGTACGCGGATCCTCCAGGTTAAAACCGTCGAACGCGACATCCAAAAACAAAAACCGAATCCCGAAACAGTTGACACTTGTGATCTGACCCCCAATTACATCCGATTCCGCGCTTTGGGGCGGTTGTCCTTCCGCTACTTTCAAGTCGGGCTTGGATTCTTCGGGACACGGGGCAGGGAGTCTTACATGCCAAGATGCTGCGCTTTGTGGCTCTGGGTGATTGCAAGTATGGCCGATCATAGGACATAGGAACGACCATAACTTACAAATGGTAACGTCGCGGCAGTGATTCCTAACAGACGTCCTCTTCGTCGTCATCGGCGTTGTTGTCGTCGCAATCATCACTGTCGCCACGACACAGAAGTTGTTGACGGCTCATGACGGTGATCAGATGATTCAACGTGTTCCTCGTCCTCATCATTCCCGCCACATTCCCATCGACAGAAGAAGAACCTTCTCGCAGCAGTTGCTCTACTCTGTTGGAAACTCCTGCAGGACATGGAAATTAAGGCTGAAGGTTTTCCAGGCGAAAACCGGTACCATTCTGAGCCCCTTGCTCCTGAAGAGCTCCTGAACCCCACCAGTAGGGTTCTTACCAACACTTTTTTGGGCTGTCATACTGGAATCCCAAGTCTTTAAGTCAGTGCTCCCACTATTTGGAGTTTGTTTTCGTTCTCATTACATAACTCCCGCGTCCCCCCCCCCCCCCCCCCCCCCCTACCCTGTTGTCAAACGGACGAACCCCCTTCCATCCCCTCGACTCCGCGTACCACGAGCACTTCACGAGTTCTGCCAAGCGTTTCGGTTGGGCGGGCAGTGGTGGTGGTGATTGTCTCGATTCTCCAGGCCAATCTTGCCGGTGGGGGCTCTCGGGCCTCCTTTCGTCTGGGCCTCGAGCATGCGTTGGAGGCCGGAGCTGTGGTTTTGTTCTAGGATCAGACCTCTTACAGGGTGCTGTTGCCCCCAGGGCTTTGGGGCTAAAGGTATGAAGGGATAAAGTGCATGTGTGGAGATTCGGTCGATGGCTTGAGTTCAGAGTGTGGGGGTTGGTGGGGAGTTTGTGGTTTGCGGCAGGGGCACAGCAGCGACTATGTGGCGGTATTAAGTTGGAGTGGCAATAATAAAGTAGAAAATGAACTGTCCCCACTAACATCATCACCAGCAGCCACAGCAGACATTTCGGCGTTTGCACGGTCATCACCGCACACGCCATCGCCGCCACCAGTGTCGCCCGCATCATCACCATCAGGGTCGTCATGATCATCATTAGCCGGTTCAGCACCATACATCATCAACAGCGCAATCAAAAGCACCAGCATCATGATCATCATCACCATTGCCATCATCATCACCATCGCCATGCCCATCATCATCCTCCTCATCTTCATACTATAATTCTCGTGCTCATCAGCGGCAGTCCGTGTGCAGAAGCTTGCATCAGGTATCCTTCGGCGACTGCTTCAGCTCCTGGCCAGTCGCGACGGGAAGTTCCTGCTCTGTCTCAAGCTCCCCAACCCCAGGCCCAATACCGGCACCGAGCACGACCAGCAAGGCCCCCACTCCCTCTCCGACAACCCAACGGGTCACCACCCCAGCTCCGATCGAAACGACGCGGCCGTCCTCAGCCTGCGCGGCCCCTGGTGTAGACTGCCGCAGTGCTGGCTGCTGCGAGCAAGCCGAGCACACCTGCTACGAAAAGGCGACGGGGAGAACGTGGGTGCGGTGTAATTACTGTAACTCGAGCAACCTCAGGTGGACATGTTGAAGGCTGCCGGAATACCGGATTACGATGCAAGGTGTTGGGGCCCGGCATTCTGGGATGAGGGATTCGAAAGATCCAGGCTTGAGCCGCGGCTTCAGGAATGATCGGAAAAATGTGTAGCTGCACATGAAACTGACAGCATGGTAAGATTTTGGGTTTGAAAGTCACGGCTATTCTGCGCACTCTCTCATTGCCAACCTGCTGAAGGGCCCTATCAAGCCTGCCGCCGCCCCCAACCCCTAAACTCCTGCACCCGAAATCTTAAAACCCCTATATGGCCCTGAACTCACGCATGCGGAACCCACACCGAAGAGCCCATGAACCTGAGACATGCTCTTTGCACCTGACAGAGCTTCAGGGGTTTGGCAGAAGTCCATGAAGACCAACCTTTCAAGAACTAGTTGAACCCCCAAACCACCATCTCGTCACAAAGCAAAGGCTTCAAGACCACAGACCTGCGGGAGAATCTAGAAAGCAGGTCCTGCAAGCCATTAAAGGGCACAAACTCAACACCTTCAACTTTCAGGCTTCTAGATCCGAGATTGTCTTCATCCTTCAACAGTTCTTAGTTGCTGCGAGGACGACTTTTGGGCAGCCTGCCGTCTAAGCTGCGAGCCCGGCAGCCTGAACCCAACCGATCCGGAGGAGTTTCGGCTGGGAGCACTAGTAGCAAGATGTAACAAGAATGATATTGGGATTTTCATGAGCACCGTGCTTTGTGTGCATGGATGAGTCACTCACCAAAGACGTGTATATGTGTGTACATATGAAGAATATATATATATATATATATATATATATATATATATATATATGTATACATGTAGAATAATAATACATATATATATATATATATATATATATACGCACGTGCATACTTACAGCTGCATCATGCATGCATGCCGACATGCACTTATGTATGCATGTACTGCAAACTATGTCCGCTCTATGTGCGTGCACTTTATTGATCTATGTGTCTGTTTAATCATCTGTCTAGCTATACAACGCTAATACAACTGTCTATCTTTCTGTCCTTCTACCTATCCCTCATCTATCTACCCATCCATCTAATTATCCATGTATCCATTTGTCGATCTATGGATCTGTCTATCTAGATTCCACTTCTATCTATGTATACCTTACTTTTTCCTGTCCTATCCTATGATATCCCATCCCATCCTATCAATCTATGTCTTTCTGCCTATCCCTCTCCATCAATCCATCCAGGTGATGCATCCATCCAGACTCGGCTTGTAACGCGCGGGTGCTTGCTGTGTTCCAGCTCTTGGCATGAATGCCCACACGTATGTGTGTGCGTGTATGTCTGTGTTCGTGTTTGTGTGTATGTGTGCGTATGTATGTGCGTTGCGTATGTGCGCATGTGCAGGTAGAGGGCGAGGCAGGGAGACAGAGACAGACAGATACTCATGTCTCTCTGGATGACCATTGAAGCTATTTCTGCATTTATGAGGTTTGCTTTGTATCTGTAATGACAGTGAAATAGTATATAGATGTGTGCGTGCGGTAGGAGGGAGGCAGACCCGCCAGCCTGTCCGTCGTGCCTGCACGAGTGAGAGAAAGGCTTCAACCAACCCCCTGTTCGAACCCCTCGAACCCATGAAATCTTACCTCAAAACCCTAACCTCTACCAGTCAAGCCCTTAACAGCCTGAATCCCTCAACCGACCATCGAAGCTCGGTGAGGACTTTCGCACGCCTTGGACCTGCAAGGCCCTTCGCTTTACATAACGTTCAACCCCCATGCATAAAGTACACCGTTTGCATAAACCCTTTCACGGATCGAATCTACTTAAAGAAGCAGCTCAGTGAGGAAAAGCACCGAAATTCAATAAACAGACTCTGTCCCTGTACTTCCGCCGCTAACCTCCAGAGCAGGGTTTTTTCTGACCGCCCATTAGACAACTATGAGGTCCCTGGAAGCATACTTGAGACTACAACTGTGAGGGTTCACCAAAGCAGCACATGAAACCCTGAAACAGCTGCTTAGTGTCGTGGGGCTTTTGGCTTGGGTTCAGCATGTCTGATTTACTTGCGAGTCAGCATTGGCGCGGTGATCTTAGGTGGTTGGAGTGAAAGAATCTAGGACTAGCTTTCTGGCAGGGACTTCGAAGGGCTTCAGTGCTTGGGGTTGTGGGGTCAGGGCTTCAAGATAAATACGCATCCCCAAACCTAAAACCACAAGAAAATTGTGTTGAGCCCAAAACTCCCAAATCCCTAAAGGACCCGAAAAATCTTCTAAAGCACCCAGCGCGCCCAACAACCGTCAACCGTTCAGGAGTTCGGCCTGAAAATTCCGAGCTTGGATGTTGGTCGGAATTGGTTTGGGCGGATGTTCTGCTTAGAGTTGGCTTGGCGGGTTGTTCTACGTGGGGGGGCGGTTGGGTGTTGGGGATTGTGGGATGTTAGAGGCTTCAGAATGGTGGTGTTCAGCTCTTGTGGATTGCAGGGTTCGGGATTTGGTGTTTTGTAGTAGAGAGGCTTTCGGGGCGTTGCACTGTCGAGCTGCCGAGTTCAGTCTTTGGGGCTTTTGACTTTCCATTTCAGGCGTCTTTTCTGAAAGGGTCCTGCACACATGAAGCTGGAAAGGTCCTCGATAAGAACGGCCCGTCGCCGCAGCCGCAACCACAGCCGCAGCCACAACCGCAGCCGCAGCCAGTACCGTCTCCAAATCCAGGACTGCATGATGTAAGGCTTAAGCTTCATTCATGCCGGTTTAGTCGTAAAGGCATGATTTGGAAGCGTTTACGGTTTAGGATCCACTTAAATTACCAGAGTAGTCCAGTTCTTTCCCTCTGTTGGTATTTACAGGGTTGTCTTCGTGATGTGTAGGGTCAGGCAATGTCTTTAATGGATAATTTCAGGTTCAGCATTCAGTCTAAGGGTTTGTTATCTGTTGTTTGCTACAAGTACGTGCGATGTTTGTCGGAATCGTTTCTCGGAATTCTTGGCTGCTCGGAGGACAACAGCACTGCTTCGGGTGGAACTGATATACCGATACCAACGCTGACTAGGCTGTGCGCGGTGAATATGATGTGCGGCAGCGACTTAACCAGCCCCACCCGCCCACCCCCCCCTCCGAAGCCAAAGAGGCAACCCTGAAGTTGCGCTGCGGCAGGGACGATAGTAAGGCCATTGAAGCTTCACGTATGGTTTGCAGTAGCACATGGCCTGCACGATGGATTCGGCAGGTTTCACAGGTGCTTCAGCATGATTGAATAGTCTTTCTTGTTTCCTACAGAAAGAGCATGTGCTGTCATGTGTAATCGTCCCAGCTCCCGAACCCGCTTGCATTTCTATTCTCGGGGTTGCGCCCGCGGGCGGGCAGCGCAGGTAGAAGCCTGATGCGAGGTCACGCAGCCGCCCTTGTGTTTGCCCCTTCCTCTTGCCCTTTCAGCCCTCGTCGGCCCTCCATGTAGCACGCACCCCCCTCCGCCGAACCCCGCTGATGCCGATGATGCGCGCCCTTTGGGGGCTTCCGCAACCCATTCAAAAAATTTGCAAAACATCGCCTCCTGGCCGGTTGCGGGCGCCCGGGTGCTGATGATGCTCGCCGGCTGGCCTCTTGGGGGGCGTCCACAGCGGCCCCGAAACCCGCCATAGCCTGGGGAATGGCGCGTGCGCGTTCCGAGAGGCCTCCGGGCGAGGGCCCGCGTGGCCTGATGGAAAAAACGAGGGTCCGATCAAGCAGCGTCGGCAGCACAGGCGGTTGTGGCTTTTTGCTTCGCATAGCTTGACTGGGTTGACAGAGCCGAGCTCGGAACTCACAGGACGCAAGCGCTCGGCGACCGAGCGCTGCCCGATGTAATGGCTGCCGCCAATGCCGCCGACCCCTAATAGAAGAAGCCCCCGTTCAGCAAAATTTGCGTTTGCCCGCATCAGAGGCCCTCCTGACCTTTCAGAGGTACCCCCCCAGACTACTCTTCTTGTACATATAAGTGCAGATGTGTGTATATATATATATATATATCTATCTATGCCTATATCTGTATCCGTATCTATATCTATATCTGTATGTGTATATATATATATATATGGTCACCCCCCCCCGTTGACAGACCATGCCCTTTCAACTCAGTCGTAGTGCATGGTTTGTGATCGGGGGGAGGGGGCACTCAGCTTTCAAAACCTCAATTCCAAAATTTCCAAAATTCTTTCCTAAAGCTTTCCGGATTTCCAAAATTGCCAAAAAGTCCGCCCTTATGTTTTGGAAAAATCCTGTCCACTAGGTCGGGCCGTTTTGGAAATTTCGGAAATTTTGGAAATTTTGGAATTTTTGGAATCTCTGGACCTTGGAACTGATTCTCAGGAGGGCTGATTGTGACCCATCCGATGACAGACCATGCACTACGACTTACTTGCAAAGGCAAGGGCTGTCAATACTCATGCCCATATTTAGACGAATATCTCTCTATCTATATCTATCTATATATATATATATATATGTATTGATACTCCCACATATAGTATTGCCATTGCTAATACTGACATTGATCATTTGTTGAATTCTCAAGCTAATACCAGCATTACTACTATTATTACACATCTATAAAGCTTAGTACGAATATGCATAACACAAATACTAATATTGATTAGTATTGCTATTAGTACTCCTACGCATATCAATAATCATATTCATATTGGTAATATTGTATATTAATACCAATACTAACACACACCTGTATGTACTAATGTACATAAATATGCATACCACTATATTTAAATACAAATCCTTTAACTCACTCATGTATTCAACTGTTAGAATTTCACGTGATCAATAGTAATAATCATACAAACATTCTTGCTAATGTAGATCATCAATAATATTATAGTACTAACGCTAACACTACTGCTAATACTTTACACAAAATTTATACTAACATCAATATTTACATAGCTATTGCTACTCCTACGAATACGAATACGTAAACTCTTGTGCGCTAAAAGTAGTGCTATCGCCAGCAGTACTACGGACTTTGATAATCTGCTGAATATTCAAGAATGCCACTAGTAGTACCAGCATGAACACTCATATTATGGCTAATACGAGTATAAATAGTCCTAATTCTAATAATATTGACATTAATACTCCTACGAATACCAATAGTATATTCATATTGATATGAATACTAATATCATTACTAATAGACACCTGCATATACTAATGTACATAAAGCACATACCACTATCTTAAGATACAGATATATGCATCAGTGCATTCATGTATTAATGCTTTGGCATAGGCATATACCCATATACCAATGTAACAATATACTTCTCGTTGCTGTATGAATATACTATACGAATATGTGACTATACTCATTTACGACTACTGCACTATGCAAGAATACCGACATGACAAGTTCGTATACTAACATGCCAACATACTGGTATACTTATAAATGATTAGATAACACAGTAATATAGTACACATACTCGTATACTAATATGCTAACGTACGAATATACTGGTATGTCAATATACTAGTAAGCTAATATACAGCAATATAGTAGTGTATTCATGCACCAGTTGTACTAACATGTAAAATATACTAGTATACAAGTATGCAAATATTTTATTGTTCGAATACATTGATGTATTGATTTTACTGTTCGAATACATTGATGTATGGATATACTAATCTGCTAATATACGAGACTATCAATATACTAACATATCAACACTAACTAGTTCTAATATTGATACTAATACTAGCACTTCTGCGAATATAAGCTGCTGTTAAACCCAGCATTAAGACTGATACTGATACTACTCGTAGCAGTGGTGCTGTATTACTGACATTGACACTGGCCCTAGCGCTAATTCTAAGACGAACATGAGCACTAACACTAATTTATAGTTGGCAAGAATTGATATGTATACTTACAGCAAACGATAGTACTAATATTAATAGTAATACTCGCCCTAATACCGATACTACCGCAAGACTATTACGTAACTCATGTGCCGCACGTCTGGTGCTATACTATGTACCTCATGTAAAGGTTTTGCTTCATAGAATATCGTCGCGCACGGTGTTTTTTAGACCCGCGGTCTGTCAACGGGGGGGGTGAGCATATATATATATATGTATACATCTCTACTCCAGGGAGGCCTTTATATTTGTTAATTTATGTGAGTATACTTGTACGTGTATATAGTGTGTGTGTATAGATATATATATATATATATATATATACGTACATATATACCTCGCCGCATCCGCGGTTGTCGGCTTCGGGGACCGGGGAGCTCTGCCCAAGTCCGGCCGGGACACCCAGATGTCGGGATAGGGCTCGGATCAGACAATTATAGGGTTCGGTAGTGGGTAGGGCTGAGGGTTCGCCAAGGGTCGGCGTTAGGTAGGCTCGGCTAGGGTCGGTGTTAGGTAGGCTTGGGTTGACAAGGGTCCGCCACGGGTCGGCGTTAGGTAGTCTAGGGTTGAGGTCCGCCAAGGGTCGGCGTTAGGTAGGCTCGGGTTGAGGGTTCGCCAAGAGTCGGCTAGCCTGCGATTGAGGAACTTAGGTATAAGGCAAGGTTGAGGGTTTGCCAGGGCCCTAGAGAGCAGTGGGATGGAATTAAACAACTCAATAAAACTCTGTAAGACGCTCTAAACAGCTAAATAAGCCTGCTGCTGCTCTGAGCAAGCGTCCGGAGGGCTTTGTGGGGCAAACGGTGGTTTCGGGGGGCGAAAGGGGGGTTGGGCATGCATTGGGATGGAATTAAACAACCCTGCAGAGACTCTAAACTCTCTGAAACAGCGAAAATAAGCCCGCTGCTGCTCTGAACACGGTGTCGGAGGGCTTTGTGGAGCAATGAGGGTTTCGGGGAGCGAGAGGGGGGTTGGGCATGCATTGGGATGGAATTAAACAGCTCTATAGAGACTCTGTAAAACCTCTGAAACAGCTAGATAAGCCTGCTACTGCTCTGAACAGGGTTCCGGAGGGCTTTGAGGCGAGAGGGGAGTTGGGCATGCATTGGGATGGAATTAAGCAACTTGGGCTTGAACCTCGGGCAGCTTGATCCTTGATGCCTGAATCGGGCGAGCGTTGGTAGCGGGCGGTCCGGGCAGTGCGCCGACCTTGGGAGCCGGTTGTGCAATAACAGAAGACGCGAGAGTAGGAGGCCCCAAGCACCCGCTGTGTACGGATGCCAAAGAAGAGGCGGCCCGTGCAAGGGCACCCAGGACCTCAGTGTGACCTTCGACCTTGGCAGGGTGCCGGCCAAGATCCCCGGCCGAAAACCGAAGAGGGAAAAATCGCAGAAAATGGCGGCCGGCAAACGCTTAACTGTTTCAACTTGTCGTCTGTGCAGCTTTGCACCGACCCTGATCTCCCGAGGGCACAGCACCGGCTTGCCAAGGTACAACCAAGACAGGACGGTGAGACAAAGGTTGAGCAGGATGAGTTTCCAGCTGTCGTGCCCGCATGGGCGGTGGAAAACCTCAGGGAAGGGCAAAGGGCAGGGCCAGACATGGGGCGTAGGGGCAGGTTCCAGTATAAAACGCTCTAAAGCAGCCAAATAAGCCCGCTACTGCTCTGAACAGGGTTCCAGAGGGCTTTGAGGAGCAAACTGAGACTGTATAAAACCCTCCAAAACAACTGAATTAGCCCGCTACTGCACGGAACAGGGTGCCGGAGAGCTTTGTGGTGCAAATGAAGGTTCCGGGGGACGAAGGGGGGGTTGGGCATGCATTGGGATGGAATTCCGGATCATCCTGCATCTATATAAGTAGAACATCGGGCTCTCTGTCTTCTTTGTCTGAAAGGAGGATGTTCCCTAGCGGCCTTCGCGTCATCTGAAGTGGTTTCGGCTTTGGGGCTGGAGCTCTGAAGCCCGAAGCCCCGAGACTCAAAAGCCCTGGCCCTCAACAGCTACGTGCCAGTCCTGGCCATGGTACCTTGTAAAGAGCAACTGCCCTAATTATTTCGACCCTGTGCCCGGAGAATCTCAACCACTGAAGCATGCGTCAGACTGCAGGCTTCAAGAAAATCTGAACCCAGAAGCCTAAGCCCTTAAAGCCTCAGTCAAAGTCTCGGAGAGCTTACTGTAGGGGTCAGGGCGATTTTGGGACTCCAGCGGAGGGATGTAGGGGAAACTTCAGGCCCATGCCTGCCTCAACTCAGTCCTTCAATAAATCTTCAGCTTTGAGCTCGCGAGGCGTCGATGAGTCGACGCTGTCGCGCATCCAGCGGGTCAGGGTCCCAAACTTTAAGAGTGGTCCCATGAACAAACATGTTTGGGTTATCTTGCTCGGCTTCCAGCAAAAACTGTTCGCTTCGAGGATGCCGAACGCACCTTCTCTTGGCTCCGACAGCAAGAAGTGCAGCGGCTCGGCGAGATCCACGTGAGTGACAAGCTCGATCGTTGTACCAACCAAGACATCGCTTGGTCACGTCCTGAGACGGTATGCCTGTCGAGCCGGGAACTGAGTGGGTGGTTTCACGCATTCACTGCTACAGTTGAGTAACATTGAGATAGCTAAGTCATGGAGTTGACCACATGGACCTGTCACTAATTCCTCCTGTGCACCAGGAGCCTTAAAACTAACCCGTGCGACTTCCAATGAAGCTTCAGGCAGCGGCGCGACAATTCTCTGAGGAATGGCACTGGGTTGAAAGTCATTATTTCTTCGAAAGCCGAACATTCTGGGTTTGCAAGTCGACTTGCTTTTCGTGTTTCGGCATTGGCGGTTGCTTGAGAAGGAAGAGATTTTGGGGGCCGCGGAAGCAAGTTTAGCCGTAGCAGTATCTTCATCACACAAAAGGCTCGGCGCGCCAAAGAGAGCAGCACAGGGGCAACTCATCATTTGAGGAGTCGCAATGAGCGCGACTTTTTTCTGAAGGTTTGTGAAGCTCACGGCCCACAGCCCTGAATCATGAAAGAATGGATCTTCCAAAGTATGGCCCCCTTCGCTTTTATTGCCAGAATCCCTTATCAATGGACTTTGAAGCTGGACCCTAGTTTTTATTAGCCCTGAACCCGACCCGAAACCCTCAACTCCTGCATGATCTATCTCTAGTCGTCTTCCAGGCTTCCGACTAGCAGTGTCATACTGGCAGGTGCGCCGAGCTGGGTTGACAAAAGGGAGAGTTGACTACGACCTACTTGTAGGATAGACTTGCCTTTGATTTCCGTTCATTTGTTTTTTCGGAATAACCTGCAGTGGGCCGTGACTCGGCTCTTTGCCCTCCGAGTAGGGCTTGCTTGTGGGCCTTCAGGCTTTCGGTTGCCCTTCAGATTTGTACTGTGGTGGAGGGCCTTGAGGTGGAGAGGACTTAGGCTCCTTTCAATCAGCTTTCATCCTTCCTGATGCAAGACGGCCTGCTCTGGTCATGATCATGGACGGCATAGGCTTTTTCAAGTTTTGGACCTTGCGCAGTGCCAGGGCATGAACTACTTGGCCGGCATGCTCCTGACAGTGTCCGACACAGAGGACGTTTTAAAGCTTAGAACAGGGGCGTTCCTTCTGAAGTGCATTTTCGTGAATAATCTTTTCTGATCGTAGCTTGCAAGTTTACAATCGGGTTTTCAAGTGCGGCGGTTCCCCTGATTGTCAGTGGACCAGTGAAAGTGAAGGGCATTGAGTTCTTGCAGAGCGCGCGTTTGTGCAACGGTCCGGATCAACTGGTTTGCACAGCAATGCCTGCCAATGTGTGCTATCTGATCGTCGTCAGAGTGATAATCATGCCGTGAAGAGCCCTGGTTTCAAATGAAAGTCAACGATCAGCCTTTGCGAGGAGGTGCACGACATTTTATGCATGGTACGCCTGTATGCTGCATTGAACAGGAGGCAGCCTTCTCCGGGATGGTCCGCTTGATGGAGCATAAGGACCTTGATGCAGACATGGCAGTCTCTGAAATTAATATGCCCCCGCTTTTTTCGGTTTGCTGTTCAGAAAGACTAGGCAGTTCTTTTATACTGTGTTGGGGGGGGGTGGTCTTCAGGGAGCTCGTGCTGTCCACTTTAGAAGATTTGACGACAGCTTGACGGTTTAGTTCTGGGGGTGGGTGTCCTGGTCAGGATCCACCCGTAGAGCAGATTTGCAGTACCAGTACCTGCCTGCGCCTTTATTGCGACCAATCCACCTGTTTCGTTTGTTCGAAGGCCTGGGAACAAGCGCTTGTGTCTGCCCGTGCAGACCTTGAGCTTGCACTACCTGTTCGGGGCTGTCGTTGCTACCCGTGAAACAGTTCTGCAGACATTGTAGGCTGCAGCGCGTGCTCAGGCACGTTTCAATGCAGATCTTCACAAATCTTTGCATTTTTGTAATTTTACGACGATCCCCTTATCGTAAAACGTAAGATCTGTGTCATTGAACCTTGGAGATCCAAGCCATGAACATGCATATGTTGCGATTTGATGCGGTGATCTAGTGGTGTTGTTGTTCCTGACCTTCGCAAGTCTCACATGCACAGGCCTTTTGTTTAAGGAGATACCAACCCCCAGAAAGGCGGACTTTCTCAAACATCCCACCGATTTTCCGTTCCCAAAATGGAGGTCGACACAACTCGCAGGCGCCATCGTCCCAAATGCAGGAGCCACGCTCGGCGGCACATGTATCAGGACACATGCAGCCCTCCGTATCTGGACCATAGCAATGGTTGATCGTCGTGCCGGAGGATCCGCAAGAAACGATTCTCTGCTCCCTGTGGGAGGACTTCTGCTTCGTGGACCTGTTCGTGCATCCGTCGGGGCCACTGCATATACGGAGTGCACCCCTATGCATTGTCGTTGCCAAAGGGCAGAGAGTTGATACCAACGCCACAGTCCACAGGATCATTGAATGGTCCTACCTGCTTGCACTCAGGTTCCCTTTGTTGGGATATTTGAAGGAGCGGCTCGGGCTTCTTGGCTGGTGCTGATTTGAGGGCTTCTTGATCATATTGTTGCAATGGCAGGCTCTTGTTGTAACATAAAGACTACATGATGCATCCTACAGTTTTCAGCGAACGTGGCTGCTGACGGTTGAGCCAGCTTTGTGGCAGCAGCGATGATGTTCATCCAAGGCACCGCCTGTCGCATGAACTGCCGATGCTGTCCGGGACCTGGTGCAATGAGGTTTAGTTTAGGGCTTCGGGCTTTTATTGCAAGGCTATACGGGTTGAGGAGTTGGAGCTCCGGAGCTTGGTGGGGGCAGCCAAGATGAGCACAATCAATCATGGGGCTTCGCAGATCTTTGAGGCGTACGTACTCCGCGTGCCGGGTAAATGGTATATGGAGCGTTTTTCGCGCAGTTCCCCTGCAGAGATTCAATGCGATCCAAAATATATCAACGACGCCTGGCGGACAGCAGCGGCCGGCCCCCCAGTCCCTCCCCCTCCCCTCTCCGAGTCTAGGGTTTATGGTTTGAGGTTTGGGGTTGAGGGTTTCGGTTTTAGGGTTTAGGCGCACAGGCCTAGCCGTAAAAAGGGTTTAGGCATGAACTTCAAGAACAAAAAGCCCCAGCTTGCACGCAAGAAGCCCTCGAGCCTGAACCCCACCAGACCCCAACCTGTGTCTTGGGGTCGGGGCGGGGGTTCCTTATTTAAAGGATACACGAATCCACCAGAATTACAGAAGCTTCTTAAGGGCAGAGGAAGGGTGGGCTGGATACACGAATCCGCGTGCGGGCGGTGAGGACGGTGGGGGCGGTGGGGGTTCGGGGCTGTGCTGGATGCCCTTAAATTCTAATGGATACACAAATCCACGAGGACAGGGCGGTGAAGGCGGTGAGGGTTCAGGGCTGGCTTTAGGCCTTGCACATTCTGCTACATCATTGAAGTCCGCATTGGGCGCCGGCATGTCTCCATCGTCGAGTTTCTGTCCGGGTGTCTGTGCCCATTTGCCTGCATCAGTACGCTTTAACTCCCCAAAAGTGTCTATAAACTCCTTGCCATTGCATATCTGTAACACAGTAGCTGTAGCAGTTAACAAAGGGTCGCGTTGATTGCCCGGGTTTCCCCCAACAAACGACCAGATTGTCTGAGTGTCAGAGTGTGGAACAGCAGACACTCAGACACCCCCTCCTTGATTCTGAGTGTCTGACCGTCTGAGTGTCTGTTTTTCACTTTGTGCCCCATTTGCTCGTTCCCGATTCCTCCCCCCGCCCCCTCCCCACGCCCCGCCCCCCCCCACACACCCAGCTTAGAATCTGTTACGGGTGCGACTGAGTGTCTGAATGTGTGCTGCGCGGACGTGCCCCCACGCGCGCCATCAATCGATTGCAAGAGTACGCCTTCACATTTATATGTTTGTATTTTGCTGTCAGCTAAACCCGATTCCAGGAACGCTCACTTCCAGCATCTGGGCATAGAAGTGTACATGTACCTTGCCAGCACATGGAGACAAAGGGGTCTGGGGTTTGGAGTTGGTAGTGTGTTAAGCTGTGTCAAAGTTTCCCAACAGTTATCGTGTGTGCAGCTTGCTTCGGAATTGTAACTTAGGGGCTGAGTAGGTAACCTTTAACCTTTTGAGCTTAGCACGTCTCACGCTTGACGCTGGGGACGAACTTGCACACGTCCCGCTTGAACCTTTTGGGCCATATTGTAACCCTACTATAATTGAAAAGAATTACTTTTTTTGGGCCAGGCTACTCAGCCCCTAAGGTAAAAGTTGAGTCACCCAGATTGCGAATTGGCACAAGGAAGCAGTCGGATAGATTTTCGGCAGCCTATACAAATGGCTCCAACAGTCACCGGAACCCCAGGCATGATCTCAGGGTTTAGGGCTTAGGGTTTAGGGTTTAAGGCGCGACCCAGTTTTCTTTGCCCTTGTTAGCGCCAGCGCCAGAGCCTAGGTATGCACATCGCTGGTGGTTGTCGTTCTTCACATTGCTCCCGATCGATGCCGTCGTGGGCTCAGCTGCTGGATGCACGCTTTGAAGAATCTGTCCCAACTAGAGCCAACTTTCGGCAGGTTAAGAACTGCTCGTGACACATGTTTGCTTCGGAGCTCGACCCTCGCTCAAACATGTGAGCCAGTACGTCGCATGAAGAATCGCTCCGAATTGAACTTGGGTTTGGGTGCGAGGTTAACCTGGCAGAATGTTTCAGACTCATTTGTCTGGGCTGCTCAGGCCAAGCAGTGTTGGGCCGTCATCATGGCGGATGGCTACATGGCCCTCCTCAACCTGGCATTCAAGATCTTGGAGGCGCGTTGGAAGCATCTCACGCGAGTCGCGCTTTCGTTTCTATTCAAATTTAGGGTGTGCAGGCCCCACGGCCCGCAGCACAATATGCTCTTCCCGGGTTTCATATGGTTTCATGATTTTTTCAATCTCCATTACATGGGTATGGGGGCAGGGACTTGACGTCAGTATGGTCTCGCGCCTGGAGCGCAAGCCCGGGTACAGTTGAGTCTATAAGGTGAGCGTGATCTTACATGCATCGCTCTGAATCTTATGTCACAGGCGTACACATACATCCTGACCTGCAAGCACTGTGATAGCTTTGAATATTTTGCTAATACAGGGTCTGTCAGTGTAAGACAGTTGCGCGTTGGACTCTCATGCCCCCGTGGAAGGCTGGCCAGCGAACACTTAACCCTGCCTGGTGCACATCAAAGAGTCTGACAGCGCCCTAGATTTTGTCGAGCACGGAGCTTGAATGACCCTTAATGCTTTACTGCTCTTCGTCATGCGATCTTCGCGACATTCTGCAGATCCCCCGCGATTGCCGGGTGGAATACCTCGAACACACCTCAGACCCTGTCTCTGCAGTTCATCGAGAGATGTCCTCCGCAGCAGGCCGTACTAATACAAACATCAGCAAAACTTTCAACAAGACCATGCCGACTGTTTTGAGCTATGTTTTCCGAAGCGCCAGGCCATCATGAGGTCCTTCCATGTCATCGAGCAGGCGCAGCTGTCGACCCTAATCCTCCCTAATCCTTCAACGCATATAAGGACCACGAAGGGGTCCAGAGGCATGGCGAAAGGTGCGACTCAGGCTGTGTGATGGGGGCAAACTCGCTCTGTGGTAGAGCTGCCATCCAGCCGCCTTCCCGGACGTTTGACAATGTTCACCGCTCGACCATGAAGCGGCTTTCAAGCGGGGATCTGAGGCGAGGTTGACGAGCTTTACGCGACGCTCTGCGAAATTGGCAAGAGCGGCAGGCTCAGACTCTGTGGACTTTTTGGGGCTTCTTGCTCTCAGACTCGTAGCGCAGCAGCCGCGTGTTCGTCGTGGCGGTCAGGGTGCCTCCCTCCGGGAGTTCAAACGGTCATGCGTGGTGGTCCTTCCCTTTCGCTCCCTTCCCTTTTCCTTCCTTTTCTTTCCCTCCCTTACTTCCTTTCCCTGCTCCCTTCCCTTGGCCGTCCTTCCCTTTTCCTTCCTTCCCTTTTCCTTCCTTCTCTTTCCCTTCCTTCTCTTCTCCTTCCTTCTCTTTTCCTCCTGCCTTGTCCTGCCTGCGCTCCTGCCCCCAGGCCGAGCCGTAGTCGTTGTCGTCCCACGACCCGCCCCACCATGACCAGCCGGCCATGGCGTCGCGGTTGCTGCTAGGGGTTTGCACTGCGTGAGTGTGTGTGTGTGTGTGTGTGTGTGTGTGTGTGTGTGTGCGCGTGTGCCTGTGCGTGTGCCTGTGCGTGTGCGTGTGCGTGTGCGTGTGCGTGCCATATATAGGGCGATGCCTCGTGAGCGGGGCGGTGCCTCCGCATCTGCGCGGAACAATCAGTCACTCATGCAGGCAAAGCCTCGAGTGCATGCACTCAAAAAAAAAAGGGTTTGGGGTTGTAGGGTTTAGGACAGACGGGGTTGCTAAAACCTTAAACCCGTCAAAGCCTTAATTTTCAACCCTAAACTCCAAGCCAACACCGTATAACGAAGACCTTATAAACCCCAGACCCTAAACCCAACCCCAAACCCTATTTAAAAAAGACGAGTCGGTGCCCTTTTTTTGCACGCATGCTTGCCATTCGTTCAAGCGGGCGATGCCTCGCCGTATATATATATATATATATATATATATGGCGGGCCCGGCGGGCGATGCCTCACCTTTGTGTTGCACGGCGGGCGATGCCTCGCCCTGCAGGTTTGTGTTTGTTGGTCGTGTTGTGCTGCTGCTGCACGGCGGGCGATGCCGCGCCGTGTAAAATTCTGGATTGGTCGCAGGATTCAGGATTTGTTTTTGTTTGGCATTATTGCCGTGGATTCCCGCGTGTGGAATTTTGCAATTTGGAAGTTTTTTTCCGTGTTTTATTTTCCATTTCCATCAAGTTTCCACATCACGGATACGTCAAAAACCAATTTCCGTGGCATGATTTTTGCTGTGCATCCAATTATATTTTTGATTTTGTGTTCAAATTTTTTACATCTCACTAGCACTGTTTTTGTTTTTCTCTATTCGTGGAATCGCTCGCAGAGTCGCCAAGAGCTTATAAGTCCTTGCTAAGTCCATAGCAACCAATTGCTTTGCGATTCCCCCGCACTTACTAAATACTTCACAAACCAGCTTTTTACCATGCTTTCTAAATACAAGCATGATATGAGCAGACCAGCACTTACATCAGATATACCAACGATTGTGTGGCTTATAAGTATACTTGCATGACTTGTAACCTCAGTTGCAACACTTTCAAGTGGACTTCATAAGTGTCCAAGCAAAACACCCGCCATAGTACTCGCAGTGGCGTGCTGGCCCAGTTGAAGTGCAGAGGCGACTCAGACCAAGCCCAAAAACCCAAAAGCCTAATCAGGAGTTTCGCAGCGGCGGTCTTGAATGATCTGACGTTCACAATGAGGCCTGGGCTTTAATCACCTGGTGAAGGCGCGAGGCCCCCAGTGCCCATCGCCCCCAGCATCTCGAGATGCGGAGACACGCGCCAATGGCCTTCGGCGCCCAAGATCCACGTAAGGATCTTTTCGACAAAGTTACAGGGTTATTTCTTCCGAGATCGCGCTTCAGAAAATCCGATCATTCACTTCAGGAGCCGTCGTTTTCTAGAGGTGTGTCACGGTGTGTCTTTCAGGGGCTCTTCTCGTCTAACCTGGAACACCACTTTCCCCAATGCGTGCGCTTCGATCCACCTTTGCTTTGAAGGGGTTCTCATGTCTCAGCCCATCAGTAACTTTTTGCGACGCGAGTGAAGTCCCGCCCCGTTTTCTCTGAATCTAGAAATTTTATCCTCTGAATCTGAAGCCAGTGCCTGCGTGCTCAGGGCTGTCCCGATGGCGCCGATGGCCAAATGTGATGGACTCGGCCTGGGCTCTGATCTGGGACTGCCTGGGATTTTCAGCGATTTTTCGGGGCTCAGAAATGTAGTGCCTGTCGGGCTCAGGATTTAGGATTTGTTTGGGATGCCTGAGGACTGAGGACCTTGAGGATTCGGGGACTCTGATGGCATCTTTGTTTTAACGATTCCCTCATTGGATCCTGTTTGCCTCTCGGCCTTTCACACTTTGCAACCTCCATGTTGGGACACGGCAGGCCTGAATGAAAGAAGACCAGCATCCAGCATCATCCCGAGGGAACAGCACGGGTTGCGCACATGTTTGTGCATATTTGTGCACAACTTGCTTCGACTCGCCCTTTCTGATTGGTTACTTTTCGAACAAATTTCATTCTTTCAGCGTTGCAGCTCCGGATGCCTACTCAAGATTTCCGGGTTCAGAAGTTCAGCACTTTGCAAGCGCTTCTTCCGCCCGACTCTTCAAGGCAAGATGAGATCAAGGAAGAGGCGCCGGGCTTGCACTGCGAATCTTGGCAACAGTTAAATCGGGTTGTCGGTAGTTTTGGTCCCCTCCTACCTGTGTGTAGATTCATGAATTGAATAGGCGCCAACAGTCCCAAAACGTGGAGTCTTACAACTTACTCCAGCTCTGTTGGGCTCCTCTGGTCAGGTGCTAAACTGCAAGCCCCTAAGCCCTGAATCTTCTTCCAGATCCTAGACCTTAGAAGCCTGGCTAAAGTCTCCCACACCACTTAGGAGATGCCTGAGGAGTGCACCGTGGCTTCTCCAAAGACGAAGGTGACCAGCCTATGATTCAGAAATGTTCTGTTCGAAGGCCTCGGCTTCGCTAGAGTGGCCCTGGGCATGTCTTGCATCAACTAGTCAGACCACGGGTTGACTCATGTGTGTTTGTATTTCAGGCGCCATGGAAAGACGCGCAGTTGCTTTAGATCACAACTCTGAGTTTCAAGGCGATCTTTCTTAACAAGGCTGCCCAAGCTGACTGGTGGACCGCAGCCCAAGCAGTTCTCGGACTCTCCGACCCTCTAACCCTCCGTCGTGTTTCGTGGTGTTTCCTGCGCAGGCTTGGGAGCGCTTATGCCCAGAGGCCGCGGGCTTTTGGATCCCGGGTGGCCCTGAACTGCCGTAAGACGATAAGGCTGATGCACTGCAGAAGAAGCTCGCTTGCGGAATGAGTGGACTCCCCTTAAATCACTGCTTCACTGTAATCACCGGGCCACCTATTGCCCCGACTTGCATCTTGCCTTGTACAGCGGCTGGCCCCAGATAATGTCTTCACGCCGAGCCCCGGACTGCCGCCCATTCTAAGAAGGGATGTGGCGCATGAGCTGCCATTGGATCTGAATTGGTCCTGATATACACATTCTATCTTAATACAGCTGCTGTGTTTCTTGATTTCGGGACTGTGTGCTTCATAACGCTGCTGCTCGTGGGGGCTTCATGTTCACGATGTATACTGAGTTTTTAAAAGAGAATATTCGTGTAATCCAGTTGCCCACTTGGGGCTGTATATGCGTGATACTTTGCAGCCAAAACACAAATCAATAACATGACTCATATAAAAACAACAATAATGACAGAATAGCAATAAGACCATGAAAAGAATGTCATTTACACAATACAACTGTGGTGTAGTTCAGATCGAGGGTATACCCAAACCGCCCCTTCAATAAGACGCCCCGTACAAGTTAGAAGATTACATCGTGGCGCCAAGAACTGAGATTCTCTGTGCTCTGCACGTAAATGGCCTGCCATGGCCTGCTGCTCTGAACACGGTGCCGGAGGGCTTTGTGGTGCAAATGGGGGTTTCGGGGGGAGAGACGGGGGTTGGGCATGCATTGGGATGGATGCTGCTCTGAACAGGGTTCCGGAGGGCTTTGTGGGTTTCGGGGGGCGAGAGGGGCGTTACATGGGCATGCATTGGGATGGAATTAAACACCTCTATAGCGACTCTACAAAACACTTTAAAACAGCTGTATAAGTCTGCTCTACTGCTTTGAACAGGGTTCCGGAGGGCTTTGTGGAGCAAGTGGGGGTTTCGGGGGCGAGAGATTGAACAACTCTCTAGAGTTAAAACGCTTTAAAATAGCTAAATAGGCCGCGGCTCTGCACAGGGTTCCGGAAGGCTTTCGGGGTTGGGCATGCATTGGGATGGAATTGAGACTCCATGAAACGCTCTGAAACAGCTAAATAAGCCCGCTGCGGCTCTGAACACGATGCCGGAGGGCTTTGTGGAGCAAATGAGGGTTTCGAGGAGCGAGAGGGAGCTTGGGCATGCATTGGGATGGAATTAAACAACTCTATAGAGACTCTATAAAACGCAGTCAGATTAGGGGGTCGGGTGTTAGGGGAGAGATTGGGGTGTCGGGTAGAGGTTGGGCATGCGTTGGGGCCTCGTTAAATTGCTGTCATACTACTAAAATCTAGCTAACATCTAGCTCCGAGTAGCCACGCGGTGGCGCCGAGTAGGGTTGGGTAGGGCCGGGTTGGGCCGGATGGGGCCGGGTAGAGTTCACTGCCGCTGAGCAGCCAGGGGATGCCTCTACGGAGGCAAAAGAGGCGCCGAAGAGGGGTTGGGCATGTCACCAAATTGTTGTACGACTACTACACTCTTATTAAGATCTAGGTCAAGGTAGCCACGCAGTGGCGCCGAGTAGACTTGGGTAGGGCCGAGTAGGGCCAGGTAGGGTTGGGGAGGGGTTGGGCATGCATTGGCCTCCATTAAATTACTTTTGTATTACAATAATACGATTAGAATCGAGCTAAAATCTAGCTCAAAGCGGTAGGGTTGGGGAGGGGTTGGGCATGCATTGGGGTTCCATCAATCTGGCTAAAATTTGGCTCAAAGTAGCCATGCAGTGGGGCCGAGTAGGGTTGGGTAAGGTTGGGTGGGGCCGGTAGGAGGGTTGGGGAGGAGTCGGGCATGGGCTTCATGTACTTTCTCTGGCTAAAATCTAGCTCAAGCTGGCCACACGCCACGCAGTGGGGCCGAGTAGGGTTCTCGTTCAATTCCTCCAAAACGACTCAAGTCTAGTTCAAATCGAGCTGGAGGTAGCTACAGCACCGAGTAGGCTTGGGTAGGGCCGGGTAGGGCCGGGTGGACGCAGTGGGCCTCAAAGTTATTTTGATAGCCCAGGGCCGGGTGGGGCCGCATGGGGCCGGTTCGGGTTGGGGGGGTTGGCCATGCGTTCCAAGCACATCTCTAGCTCAAAGTAGCCACGCAGTGGGGCCGAGCGGGGTTGGCTAAGGCCGGGTGGGGCCGGTAGAGCCGGGTAGGTTGGGGAGGAGTCGGGCATGCAGGCCTCATTAACACACTAGGGTTGTCAAATCCAGCTGGAAGGCAGCCACGCACCACGCAGTGGGGCCGAAGGGTTGGGGGGGGCGGCCGGGTGGGGCCGAGTGGGGCCGGGTAGGGTTGGGGAGGGGTTGGGCATGCATTGGGGCCTCAGTGAATTATTCTAAGACGACTCAAATCTAGCTAAAATCGAGCTAAAGTAGCAACACGGTGACGCCGAGTAGGCTTGGGTAGGGCCGGGTGATGCCGGGTAGGGTTGGGGAAGCGTTGGGCATGCGTTGCGGCTTCATTAAATTACTTTAGTACTAGCTAGAGCCTGGCTCAAAGTAGCCACGCAGTGTGGCCGAGTAGGGTCGGGTGGGGCGGGATGGGGTGGGTAGGGTTGGGGAGGGGTTGGGTATGCATTGGGGCCTTATTAAATCAGTTTACGACTTTACGACTACTAAAATCTAGCTATAGGGTTTGGGAAGGGCTGGGCATGCATCGAGGCTCCGTGAAATGACTTTCAAAATACGAATGCGAAAATTGAGCTAAAATCTAGCTGAAAGTGGCCACGCGCTAGAGCGGGCCGGGTGAGGCCGAGTAGGGTTTGGGAGGGGTTGGGCATGCATTGGGCTTCATGAAAATTACTCTACGACCATTAAAATCTAGCTAAAGTCTAGCTCCAGGTAGCTATACGGTGGAGCCGGGTAGGGTTGGGTAGGGCCGGATGGGGTCGGGTGAGCCGGATAGAGTTGGGGAAGGGTTGGGCATGCATCGAGGCTCCATTACATTACTCTAATACTCTAAGAATACGAAAATCGAGCTAAAATCTAGCTAGAAGTGGCCACGCGGTGGACCCGCAACACGCTGCAAGAGCACTGCAACGCTCGAAGTGCGAGGGTCTACAGTCTACAGTTGGCCTCCAACAGAAGCAAGCCTAACTTCTGGCCGCCGCCCCAGCAGCGGGGTCGGTGGATTCCTCGTATCAATAGATATCAATATGTATTGCTGTCGTCAAACATGGGCTAGATTTGAGACTCAGGCTGGATCTAGGGTTTCGGAGTTATCCCCAATACCAGACCGACAAAGGCACCTGCTTTACAGGCTTGCTGTCCAATGACTAGTCTGCATGATCTTTGTTGGGGGAGGACCACCCTGTCAGGGATTAGCCCCCGACAGCTTGAACCACGAAATCCCTACACCTGCACCTTCAAAGCCTTCATCATTCAATCCTGCTTCCCGGAGCTGTAAGTCCCAGGACCTTCAAACTCTTTACGAACTGCGACAGTTGGCTCCAGCAAGGACCCGTGTTCGGGAAACCGTTCGGGATACAAGTAGGAAGAAACCTAAGATGATTGTGTTGGCGATACCAAACACCACAACAATTATGATGATGATGATGCTGCTGACGATGATGGTAGTAGCTGTAGCAGCAGCAGTAGTAGTAGTAGTAGTAGTAGTTGTTGTTGTTGTTGTTGTTGTTGTTGTTGTTGGTGGTGGTGGTGGTGGTGTTGTAGTAGTGGCAGCAGCAGCAGCAGCAGCAACAGCAGTAACCCAAAAAACAAGACGAAAAAACATGGTTTAACATCCGAAAAATCGTCTTGTTGACGATAGCAACACGAAACTCAGGTTTTCAAGCTTTTGTCCAGAAAAAGCTCCCAAAAACAAACGACTCACCCCGCGCGGCAGCAGACGCACGAGCCGTCTTGTTCTTGTTCTTGTTGTGGTTGTGGTTGTTGTTGTTGTCGTCGTTGTTGTAGCTGTAGTAGAGGAGCCCGTGCAACCCTGAAACACCTTTGAAACCTTTATCAGCCCAACTCATAAAAGCGCCTGAGATTCACAAAGGAACAAGCCCTGCAAGGACCGCCTCTTCGAGTTTGTTGAAGAGCTCACGAATCAGCCGGTTTCGGGATCCAAGGCCCGGAGATCAAAGGATTGCTTCAGGTTCTGCTTGGTCTTAATCGGGTTTCATTAGGTGGCTATGCGGGTCTCTATATCGAGCGCATATGGAGTCCTCTGGCGTTGGTGGATTTTGCTGAGTTTGTTCGTTCCCTCCTTCACCGCCGCCACCACCACCACCACCACCATCATCACCGTAATCGCCACTACCACACATAGCGTCATCGGGGAAGTCATGACCTTTCGCACCTCGATGTGGGTCATGATGAGGAGGATCGCGTGTTAATACTGTTCCTACTGGCCTCGAGGACGATTGAGAGCATGACGACGATGAGAGCGAGGACGCAGCTGATAGGTAGCATCCTCTTGCTGGAGGTTGCGGAAATCCAAGTCCAGAATCCACGCATCTTGAACAAGACCTGAATCCCACAAAAAGAATTCCAAAACCAAGAACCTTTCAAGCCAAACTTTATAGAGACCCCAAAGACAAGAAGAGCCAAGAAGTCCGAAATCCGAAGCCTCGCATCTTAAAAGCGCAGGCGCGAGCTGTTCAGTCTTCTGGCGGAGCTGCTGGGGGCATCGCTGCTCGGCTTTGTTTTTTTTTGTTTTGGGATTCTTGTCGGGTTTTAGGTGCGGTTTAGGGCTTGTGACGAAAATCCTCCATATTCGAGGTGTCACTTGGGATACTGTTCAATCCCCTTGTCGCCTTATCAATCCACATATTCCCAAATAGCATCTAAACTACTTCTTGCGGAAACGTAAACCCGACGCCCCCAAATGAGGAGGCATTACGCGAGATCTCTACGGGCCGTCCCTGTGCCATGTCCATCGTTCCAAAAACCTTTTAATCCATGTGAGGGTTGAGGGTTCAAGGCACACCGCCGTCTTAAGTTGGAACGTATGTCAGGTTCGTTTGAAGTTATCAGCTTGAGCTGGAATTTACGAGAAACAGGAATCCTAACAGTATCTAAGTGTGACGCGTGTGTAGAACAACAGCAGCATGCCCCAAGAGCAACACACAGGATTTGAGGATATTACCACACGAAGCGGAATTAAGTTTTCCGGGTTTACGAGTTTAGGCTAGGGTTTGTCTGGGGCCGAGGGCCTGTGGTTTAGGTTTAAGCGTTTAGAGTTGCACTACCGGCTGTCAACCTCAAACTCGAAACGCTGACAGCCATGAACCCTGTAGCCACTGTTTCCTAACCTGTGTTGGGAGCTTGAAACTAACTAAACTCAAACCCAAAACCCCCGAACCTTCAAAACCGGAGTTACACCCTTGATCCGAGGCATAGAAGCCAGTGCTGAGACGAAGCTTAACTTCAGCTCCCACCCCTGAATCAAGGCAAGCCATACATTCTAAACGTAGCCCTTCTCAGCGCATCGAGACGGTAAGCTCCGGGTCCTCAACACTCCAACCCCCCGAACCATCCAAGACCTAAATCCTAAACTCTACAGCCCCGAATCCCTCAAACCGGCAGAGGCAGAGCCTTGTTCTATGCCTCGCGAGCCCTAACTCACTCACTCACTCACTCTCGAAGCATAAGGGTGGCCCACCCAAAGTCTGAAACACGTGCACGCCGAAAGGCGGTGACAGTCATAGTCACCTAACCCCCAAATCCTAGATCCTTACACCCGAAAATCCATATCCTCTAGAGAGACCAACACATCCTGAAAGAAGAACCTGTAGCGCATAGCGATAGCCCATAACAGAGAAACCCTTGTCAAGCCCTGCAACACCCTTCCAGACCGAAGCCTTGGCAAAAGCAACTTGCAGCCGAGCCGCCGCTTCCCACAAAAAAGTGAAAGCTTCTGAGGTTTCGGAGAGCCAAGGCTACGGGCTCCTCGTCTCCGGCACGGTGCTGGCGGCCATGGGCTCCCTTTCTTCTTTAGACTTTGGCTTTGGAGACTTTGGAGTTTGGGTTTCGAGTACAAGCTTTGGAGTTTAGGCGTTCGGCATGTGGAGGCCTGAGGCACGCATCAGGGTGGGACTTCGGGTTCTTGCCTTGACTTCCATACAGCTGGGTGTTCGGTTCTGATGTTTGACAGCTCGGGTTTTGCTCTCTTTTGGGGTGGCGTTTAGGCGGGCTAAGTTCCAAAAGCCTTGAATAGCCATACACGCCAGAAGCAACGTAAACTTGAAGCCCATGTCCTGGAGCAAGGCTCCGACTCGGATTTCAACCGCGTGTCCGAACTCACCCATGAGCCACTGGGACAGGGGGACGGCCCAAGCGAAAGGGCATTTGACAAAAAGGGTCAGGGGACTGAAGAACCCAGAAAGCCCCATGCTTCTTTTTGTAGCACTTCTGAATATGAGTCGTCTCATTTCAGGGGATGTTGAGTCAGTTTAGTCAGCTATGTGGCAGTCTAAATGATGAGACCTTAGGTGTGGGGTTGTGTACTGTAGATGTAACAGGGCTGCCCTGAAGTAGAATCTTGCTCTGTGTTCGCCGCTCTTGTATCGCTAGTAAACGGGGAAGGCTTGATTGCGATATATTGCGATGTTGTAGCGCTGTTTTGCTGCTGTGCGGATGAATATTTGTGTTCGGGCTTTTGCTGGGTTTCAGGATCGGAGGACTTGGTAAGTGGATTGGGTTTTTGTGCTGCAAGAACAGCTCTTCATGGGCAGAACCAGTTTAAGCCTTACTTCAATAATTGCAGTGTAAGCATTTCGGTTACCTATGATTTAACGCATCGCGACTCTGAAAATTGAACTTGTTTCGGATTTGGAGCTTTCGGAGAGTTGGGAGTTGAGTTGCATTCCCTGGTTGTTGAGGTCAACGGGTAGTAGGATGTTGGCCCCGATCGAAGCTGCACGGTCAGAACACTGACGCTGCAATCACGGGCACCCCTAGGCCTAAAACCGGAACCCAACGCAATGAACCAAAAGCCGTGAACATTGGAGGCAACGGTCGTTCTGCCTGAAGACAAGGCTGTTCCTGGGATGGCGCCGCATGTGCGAGCTGAGCGCCGCTGGTGGAAGCTGCCAGGACGACGAGGGCTTCCAGTGACTTGAAGCACAGTCTTCTTTTCGAAATATGAGTCTCCGGGATCCTGTGATTATGACGATGTTTTTTCTGCACTTATTATATTCTCATGATTTGTGCAGCCTTCAATGGCTTCGATCCTGGTTCTCCTTTTAAACACCCTTGATTTTGTTTGTGGTTAGTGTGTCGTTATCAGGATTCTACCGTTGTCTAATAGCCGTCGTCGTGGTGGTGGTGGTGGTGTAGTAGTCGTCGTCCTCGTAAGTGTGGCCGTGGTAGCAACGGCGATGATCTTGCTTAGTAGCACAACGTAGTGGTGGGACTTCGTCGTCTTCGTCGTCACTTTATGGTAGTAGCAGGAGTAATTAACAGTAGCAGTAGTAGTCGCTGTAGGAGGAGTAGCACAGTGCGTAGCACTTAGAACGTAGTGCGTAGAGGGTAGTAGATAGTACGTCGTAAGTAGGAGGCATTTAAAACTTAAGTGGAGTCGTCGTCGTAGTAGTTCGAGCCAAGAGGTTTCCAAGTTTGCAACTAAGCGCTACAGACAAGAGAGACCTGCCTAATAGGACTGGTGCTCGATTGTTCGGTTTGAGCTTTTAGACTGTTCTTGAAACAACCTGTGCTGCTTGCCAAGTCGCCATGATCCCCCGATCAATCTAAAGCGCCCAACTCCTGAACGTAGGGTCTGGCGTCTGGCGTGCACGAGCCGCCCGAGAACTAAAGGCACAAGAGCCACAGCAGGCCTTGCGAACCCCAGCAACTGCGTGAGTAGGTCGAATGGACGGGGTTTCTAGTGCAATCATTGAGGCCGCCTTATTTACACTCCAGAAAGAATGAACTTAAGCCTTCAGCCCAACTCCTACAACTCCGGCTTATCTTTGGTTGAACCTTCTTACCAGGTAAGTACGCATTTACAGCCAAAGCAGACGCTCGACTCATCCGCAAAGCAGATGTGAAACCTCGCGGCTCAGCCATGCACCTAAACTGGAGGATCCTAACTTTGGGCAACAACGGCCATATGTTGATGTGGCCTGTTCTCGTCAAACCTCACGCCCAGACCTTGAGCCACGAACATCAAGACAAAACCCTAGACTGTACACCGATACATGCTGATTTTGAAAGCTTGTCTGAGCGATACGACCGGCAATGCTGAGACGTTAGGACGCCACCTGTCTCAAAGCCTGAAGCTTCAGGTGCGGCGGTGGCCGGTACCCGTGCCTCCCTCATTGGAAATTTGGGGAGGACGGACCCAACCCGCCCTCACAGCAGGATTGGATGTCGAGGTTTGGGGCCAAGGTGCGTACTTTGGCTTAAGGGTTCAGGTTTTAGTAACTAGCACGTGTGGGTTTAGGATTCAGGATTTTGCAGGACTTGGGGAGATTGTGTGGAAACATCGCCTTCAGTTCCAAAGTACGTACTGGTTTCTCGAGTTTAGGACGAGAGGAGCTGGCTTTTGTGAGTCTATGTCGAGCGAAGCCTCAACTTCAGCTGACAATTTGGTTGTGTGAGCAGGGTGCATGTCAGGATTTGCTGGTGTTTCTGGGGTTACGATACGCCGTGCCATCTGCATATTTGCGTTTCCTTTCGGAGACATCGTTACTCCCCCGACTTCGGACAATGGTTGAAAGCATGCCCAAGCCCTGGTGAAAAAAACATATACTCAAAAGGACGGGAGATGCTGTTTTCCAGGCTCCGAGCTTGGAATTTCGCGTTTTACGCTGTTGAAATAGGACCTGACCCGAATCGACGGCCGCGGCGCCGCACCGGATGGGGATGTTGATGCCCTGCTGGGTATGCCTCCAGGCTGCAATGGAGCTCCGGGCTTTTTGGCTTCAGTGTGGATTCTTCTCTTTCACCGCAAGTTCAGGGAATGAGTTGGGGCACAAGGACCAATGAGAGGGGTTGGAGCTGTGTCGGAAATGCTTCTGCTCCTGCTGAAGCCTAGTTCGCAGCGTTGTGATGTGTTAAAGTCCTAAGCCGCAAAGCCTCAAACTACAGCGCATAGCTCCAAAGTCCGACGGAAAGCCCAAAAGACTGAACCCCGTCATATGTTCAGCGGTAACATAACGCACCACATCTTAAGACTCTAGACTCCCACAGCCTTGAAGCTCCAAAAACATGAACCGGTGGGTTCGAGGTTGCAGCAGCTAAATCCAATCATCCACGAAGTTCCATTGATAGCGGGTCTGGCATGCCCAGTTGTAGATAGTTCAAGACAAGAGCTGATTGGGGTGTCCAGAAATCCCAGAACCGCTCCAACTCTGAGTCTGCATCCTAAACAGTCCACTGGGAAGAGCTATCCACCGAGGTTGATGGCTGTCTTGGCTTTGGAGGGCACCAGCCGCGAGCCGGACCGACGGGAGAGATCAGGTTCCGGCTTTAGAGGTCTTAGCCAGTCTACTGGAAATCGCTAGATGGCTTGGGACAGCGAGTTTGGAGTGCTTGTAGGGCTGTTAGAGTCTTCCGCTACGAGTTGGTTAAGGTTTTGGCATTTAGGGTTTGCGACTTGCTCCACTTGTGTTTGGGTTCCCTTTTTTCGGATACTAGAAGTAAAACCCAGCTTCATATTGCATCTGAGGGTTCGGAATCAGGAGTCTAGGGCATGTTGTGGGCCTCTAAAGGGTCTTGCTGTTATTGCTTCTGTGTTGGACTTCGAGTGATTATATATATATATATATGCTCACCGCCCCCCCGGTTGACAGACCATGCCCTTGTGATAGTGTACTCTCGTTCGGTGACTAGGCTGAGATATTGCATCTAAACACACCACACATGACGACAATCTGTAAAGCAAATCCTTTACAGTACATATACCACGTACACTTTTAACATGCCATGTACTGAGAACGCATCGACCAGATGCGCGACACGTGAGTTATGAGTTTTGTGGTAGCATTGATATAGGATGAGTATGAGTATTAATATTGGTATTGGTATTAGTATCAGCAATAGTATTAGTGTTTACTGTAAGTATGTATATATATATATATGTTTATATCGACAGTAGTAAGTATACATTAATGTTAGTGCTCATCTTCGTTTTAGTCTTAGTGTTAGTGCCAGTGTCAATGCCAGTAATAGTACCACTGCTAGTATTAGTATCAGTCTTCATGCTGGGTTTAATATCAGTTAATAATGGCAGAGGTGCTAGTATTGGTATCAAAATTAGAGTTAGTTTCGATATGTTACTATTCTGATAGTTTCGTATATCAGCAGGTTAGTATATCAACACATTGATGTGTTCTAGAGGCAACATATTTGTATACTTGCATATTCGTAGATTCAATACTTTAGTACAACTGATGCATGAGTAAACATATGTTAGTATATTAACATACCAGTATATTCGTACATTAGTGTATTAGTATACTAGTATATGCAATATACGTGTATTGTCTAAAGATTTATAAGTGTATCAGTATGTTGTCATATTAGTACACTAACCTGCCACGTCGGTATACTTGCATATTACAGTAGTCTCATACTAGTATAGTAGCATACTAATATAATAGCATACTAGTATAGTATATTCACACATTAACAAGTAGTGTATTGTTACATTGGTATATGGGTATATGCTTGTCCTAAAACATCAGTACATGAATGCATTGATACATATCGGCATTTTAAGTAAATGGTATGTGTTCTGGTGTGCATTAGCATATGCACGCGTCTTTTGTAATGGTATTAGTCTTCACATCAATATGAATATGACTATTGGTATTCGTAGGAGTATTAATGTTAATATTCGTATTAGGATTATCCATAGTCGCATTAGCCTTAGTATAAGTGTTAATAATGGTATTAATACTGGCATTATCTTGAATATTCAGCAAGTTATCAATGTCAGTATTAGTATTGGTGACAGCATTACTGTTAACAGCATAAGAGTATACGCAGTAGTATCCGTAGGAGTATCAATACTTATGTAAATCTTGGTGTTGGTATAAACAGTGTGATTGGTATTAGTAATAGTGCTAGTGCGAGTGCTAATATTAAAATGAGGTTATGTATTCGCATGAACGTTTGTCTTATATTAGTATTACTCCTGATTACATGAAAATACTAACAGATAAATACATGCATGAGCTAATGTATTTGTACTTTAATATAGTGGTATGTATATTTATGTACATTGGTATATGCAGGAGTGTATTAGTATTGGAATTAAAATACACTACTACCAATATAGGCATAATTATTGATATGCATAGGAGTATGAACGTCAGTATTAGTCATTATTAGTATTTGTTATTTGTATGGTGCCTATTCGTATTGGCTTAAAAAAGTGTAAATATTAGTGTTAATGCTGGTATTAGCTTGGGCAGTCAGCAAATGATCAATGTCAGAATGAGTATTGGTAATAGTATTCGTAGGAGTACCAATTTAGAAAAATAGATAAACACTGACAACCGTCTAAACAGACCTTGCCTTTGCAAGTGAGTCGTAGTGCATGGTCTGTCATCCGATGGGTCACAATCAGCCCATTGAAAATCAATTCCAGAAGTTCCAAAATTTCCAAAATCTCCAAAATCTCCGAAATCTCCGAAATTTCCGAAATTTCCAAAATTTCCAAAAATTCCAAAATTTCCAAAATTTCCAAAACGGCCCGACCTAGCCGACATGATTTTTCCAAAACATAAGGGCGGACTTTTTGGAAATAATTTTGGAAATTTTGGAAATTTCGGAAATTTCGAAATTTTGGAATTTTTGGAAATTTTGGAAATCCGGAAAGTTAGGGGAGATAATTTTGGAAATTTTGGAATTGAGTTTTTGAAAGCTGAGTGGAACCTCCCCCGATCACAGACCATGCGCTACGACTGAGTTGAAAGGGCATGGTCTGTCAACGGGTCTCAGTCTTTTGGTGGTTCCACAGATACGTTCGGAGGGCTCAAACTCGAGACCCCGGAAAAAGCACGAACACGCCGGTGGGAGCGATGTTTTGAAGGGGATGGTCTGTCATGGGGGGGGGGGGGTGACCATATATATATATATATATGTATATATTGCCTCGGGAGGTACGTCCTTTTTAAAGCACCTGAGTTTCAAGGCCGGGTTGCTTGTGCGATCCCAGCTGCGAGACGTCGAAGTTTAAGATAAGTCCCCAACTCATGTTCACGCCCACGCAAATGTAGAGGACTGGCTGGATGAGGTTGGCCAGTGGGCCTATGACACGTGCAAGCAGCTTGCCAATGTAGAAGATGCTGATTAGGGTTGGGGATTTTGGGTTCGACTTTTTTGGAACGTCAAGGCTATTGCTTGCTGGCAGGATCGGGGATGTAGCAAGCATGGCTACAAAGGTGTCCTGATATATGCATCTGTGTAATGATAATGTGATTTTCGTACAGAACGAACGTATCCCCACAAAAGTAACTATGTATACATATACCCACATATATGTATAGATAACTGTATACATAGTCACATAGTCATTCATGTCTTTCTCCGTACAAGACAGATAGATCGACAGGCGGATAATTACGCTCATCAAGCAGTTTGACCGCGCGAGGCAGTTCTACCTCAGCGCCACCGTGGCCTCCCCAAGCGGCCGCCACCAAATCGTGAAATTGGGCTCCTGCTGGGGTGGCTGGGGCAGCCAAGGCCCAAACTTGAAGATGTAGGGGCTTCAACGGGTTTGCGCCTTGAGGGGTGGTGTCCCTCGCTGTCATTCCTTGGCTCCGGGGACCCTATGGAAAACCACCACTTTCTTATTATTCGCCGTCTTCATACGGACCTTACTGATTACTTTGGGGATGCCTTCCGGTTTTGCTCCTGACCGAGTGAAGAAGAGCTGAAGTTTGTGACGCTTCGGTACATTAAGGACCTTGAGCCTTGATAAATGATAACACGGCGGCTGGGAGTTCGTAGGGTTTACCGCTCCGGCCCTTGGGGTAGGGGCTACATCCCTTCGAGTCTTTGGGCAATTCTCCCTGTAAGTTTTGAAGCCGCATTTCGTGGAGCAGTTCTGCATGATGCCTGTGCAGGGCAGAACCCCAGCTATCATGCACCGGGCGTGTATCGCCTTTGTCGAGATTACATGCCTCCCAGCTGCATAGAAGGATCCAATTTCTGAAATCCCTAAACCGATATCCTGAAACATGCCGCAGACCTCCTAGCATCAAGCTAAGCCCTAGAACCTCAAATGCTGCCTTTCATTATATGGGACTGTGAACCCAACAAGCTTCCAATACATTCTCGAAAATAAGGAACCTGTAAACTAAGTCACTTAATGCATATCCTGCATAAACCACCGGCAAAGGCTCAACCTTAATTTTGAGGTGCCCTATCTGAGTTTAAGGATTGGGGCTTACCTATCCATGGAAGTCTCTATTTATACCGGGCTAGGGGATATTATCGGATTTAACGCTGAAGGCTTGGGATTCTGCAACTTGAAGTGGATCTAAATATTGGTTTCAGATTCAGACTCTCATTACAATTCATGGAGTTTGTTTGGACCCTTGTAGTACTCGATTCACATTTTCTGGTTCTGGTTCCGTATAGGGGCCACTGTGGAAAAGAAAGTGCGGTTGTCTGTCGGGGTATTTCAGAATCAGGGCAACTACACCCGGAGAGCGGAAACCTTGGCCGAGTTTCCAGGTCAGGTGGAACAAATTACAAGGGCGGAACAAATTGCAAGGGCGGGTTTTTGAATCCCTTATCCCAACACCCAAGATTCATTGCTTGACAAGCATGGGCAAACCGGAGGCACAAACCTGAGATGGGAAGTTGTCGCTGGCAAGGTCGTAAAGCGTCATTGAGGATGCACCACCAAATCGCACATCACAGTATCACCTTGCTAGCCCTAAACCCCAAAGTTGCCCTGAATCCTCAACCCCGGGCGAATACTAAGCTCACAGCTGCGACTTCCAAAGTACACTCCGGCAGAGTCCGGCATTGTCATTCTCCTTCGAGGGCTTCCCACGACGACCGCTACGGCTCATCCTCCTCCGAGGGCGATCGCTTTGAATCGACACTGGGCAGTTCAGCTTAGCGCTTCGGGGTCTGGAAGGGTTTGGGTGTTGCGCCTCAGTGTCTGGGCATTTAGACAGCTAGGGTCTCGTGGTTTAGGGTCTTGGGGTGCAGCGGCTTCAAGCGGAGACCACGTCAACATGGATGCAGTGCATCTTTAGAGGCGGGTGCGATTAGATGGCGAGAACCGCACCCGAGAACCAATCACTACCTCCCAAGCGAACCCGCGACATAAACTCCACACCTGGTCCCAAAACACTAAACGGCTAAGTCCAAAGAGCTCCAAAACTTCAAACCGTCCGATCCTGAGACCATCCTGCAGGAAATGGGAGACACTCATCGAGACCAGCTATAAGATGCTCGGGGCCACGCAGTGCCAGGCTTAGAGGATTCGTTTGGAGGTCATGGAGTGATTCAAAGATTTAGACTTTAACGTTCAGGGCTCAGGGATTGCAGTTCGATGAGGCCTTACGGCTCACAGCAAGCACATGATTAAGAGCCGTATCTTTTTGCGCACAAAAAGACACACCCATCATCATCATCATCATCATCATCATTCTACAAGCCGCCATAGCAACCCGGGAACCCCAACGTTCACACCGAACCGTGCCACCAGGTGTCCTTCCACTGGATTGGTCCCGAACTGGGCGCAGGCAGCTTGCATGTAAAGAAGGCTTTCGCACGGTTTCATAAGCTGTAAACAGGGCTGCATGGCGCTGGACTGTATGAACCTCGGCAAGCAGAAGGAATTTCACTGTACAGTCGAGAACCGCACAAAGCAAGCGTGCCAGTCGAAACCCTGGACCTTGAGCCTGCAAGCAAAGATGTCCAGATGAATTAACGCAGTGACAGAAAGTGGCAAGCAACATAACGGAGATGGTGTTTTGGGATAACAGTCCCATGGTGGTAGTTTAAATAGCACGAGCTTTCAATGCAAGTCTTCAAAGCCCCAGCACCCGTTGGACCGTTAGAGTGACGTAGTCTGTTGGTGTGCAAGTAAGGTACCCTAAGTGAGACCCACTCCACGAGCCATGAACAGTAAAACCACACATAAAAGTTAAAGCTTAATAAAAAGCAACATGAACTCTAAAGTCATTCATATGTTTCAGAATAGTTAGTTGATGCTACAACCCGAACGGAAACACTGAAAATGACCGCAAGCATAAACCCTGAACACCCCACGATGAAACAGTAACCTAGATAGATAGATACAAGATAGGTGATAGACAGATACAGTAGGCAGACAGACTGACTGACTGATTGATAGACAGATAGACAAGCTAGATAGATAGACAGATTCACGGGATGATTGATTGACTGGTTGATAGCTGGCCGGATTGAATGATGTTTGGAGTGATTGACTGGTTTACTCATTGACAGATAGACCGACAGACAGAATAACTGACAGACTGACTGACAGACTCAGAGAGAGAGAGAGAGAGGGAGGGAGGGAGGGAGGGAGGGAGAGAGAGAGAGAGAGAGAGAGAGAGAGAGAGCGAGAGAGAGAGAACAGAGAGAAAAAGATAGACAGATAGATAGACAGCTGGATAGATACGCAGATACATGGATTGTTACATGTTAATGCATGTACTTATGGCGCGCACACATACACACACGGACGGACGGACGGTCTAACCCAAACAGCCCGCTTGCACGAATGCACACAAGTCTTTCAGCCCTGCTTGTAAGCAGGTCTTCGAAGAGGGCCAGCGACTCCGAGCTCAGAAGCCCGGACGACACAAAGGGGGCTGGTTTTTGTTGCTCGGGCTCTTCTGGTTCTTGCTGACAGGATCAAGAAGTTCGTCGGGTTGCTCGAGGGCTCTATCAGCACAGCACTCTCTTTGAGTTGTTGCTGCGAGCCGGTTTGGCTCTTATGGGGCTTCATGGTTTGAGGATTCATAGAGCTTTTAGCGTTTAGATTGGCGCAGTCCGGCTTTTCGGGCTGCTTTCCGGCGCTTAGGTTTAGGCATTGCAAAGTTTCGACAACGTTCAGGTTTCTTGCCTAAAGGATCCGGGGATCTAGCTGCTCTTCGGTCTGTGTTAGTTTCGTTTTGGGATCTTAGCGGGCTTAGGGCTGTAGGATATTCGGGTTTAACTGTTGTACACTGTACACCTTTACATCAAGGGTCGGCCATTGGCATTTTGTGTCTTACATGTCTGGGTTTCAGAGATACCTTGAAGCGGAACATGTTCAAGAGTCTTGGATGATGCAAGAAGTTCAAGCAGAGCAAGCCTAAACCTTCAATTCTAAACGAGCCGTACAGTGCACTTCAGAGGATCGTTCAAGAAACGCCACGCTTTTCAGACCACCTAAACCTTGCAACGTGGCCCGTAAACGAGAAAGAAAGGGGACAAGGACACCCTATACTCAAAACAAGGACTGGCTTCAGCGGCAGCGGCACCCCAGGTGCTGAGTTTGGTGCAGAGGCCGTTGCACGACGTAGCTTCAGGTATGGACAGTTTCGGTGTTCAGGTATCGAGAAGGCTCAACATCCACGGGTTCACAGGTCCTGCTATCTTTTGCAAGGCAAGGTTGCAGCCTGACCATACCCGCCTCCTCATAGACTTCTAGAACATCCCGTCCTTCAGGGAATCTAAGGTTAGAAGCATGGCCCCTGAAAGAGACCCCTGGGCTTTTCCAAAGGCAGGCTGGCCATTTCGGGGGATCCGCGGGACCTTTAAGGGGATGCCCATACTAGCCGTTTGGTTTCAACCTTTGACGAAAGGAGACCTCTGTAGACCAAGCAGCTCTTCAGGCATCTAGGACGATCTGGCGAGTGGTGGTGGACTTTGTGCTGTATCCATCGGAGGCCGAAGGGTTCTTTAACACTCTGGGGATCAGGGTTGGCTGGTGTGTGGCACAGACGTTTGCATAGTTGGCAATTGTTTGTATAAAGGAGTCACAGGCTGTTATGGGATCAATGACTAACTTAGTGGCTGTAAAACAAACTTTTCAACTTTTGGTTGGAATGGGTTGTATGTTGCCTAGGATAGCAATGAGAGAGGGTTGTTTGGGGGGTAGAGAGCTAAAGAAGGGGATGGGAAAACAGTAGAGGTGATTCTTAAGGTTTTGGTTTTGGTTTTAATGGGGGTGTATGGTTTTGAAAAAAGCCGCATAGCTGTAGTGCTCGAACGTAGTCTGACCCTCACAACAAGCCTTGAACTTTATCACTAAACCCTAATTTAGGGTCAAACCGATGGGAACCCCCCATGAGCCCGAACCTCGCACCTACCCCGCCGAATTATTATACGATTATTAGTCTAATACTAATAATACTGTTATCACTGCCGGGGCCGAAATCTCAGTGGTAAGAGACACTAGTTCAGTTGAAACCCTGACCAACCGGACTTAACCCCTAACCTCTCTTAATACTCCAGCAAGCCCTCTTATTAATTGCTATCCTGAAACCCATTCTACTAGTCTACCCCAAAGTTGAAAGGTTGGGTTCACGGCCACTTAGTCTAAGACAACCAATTCTAAACCCAAATGGAAATTACAGCAGCCCACTTGCGATATTTTAGTAATTTTAATAGTAACAGTGATCATAACCACAAATGGTAATGGGAACAGCAATGATAGCTAAGAGTGACAATAGTATTAATAGTATTAGACTAGTAATAGTACAGTAAGTAATAACCACAAATGGTAATAGGAAATTCTAGCACCAAAACCTCAAACCCCTACTAAACCCTTAAGCCCAAACCCTTAGACTCAAGCGAAAGTTGAAAGAACTCTGAACCCCGAAGCCCCGAAACCCCTAAGCCCCGAACCCAAACTTAAATTCCCAACCTCATAAGCCAGCCTTAAACACCAAAACCGTCAACCCTATATCCGTACCCACCCTTCTGAAACCCTAAACCCTAAAACACTAAACCCTAAAGCCCGCCGTCACTCTCGCCGACTTCCACTTCCTTCTTCTTCGCGCCGCAGCCTGAGGGGTTTAATTAAGTAATAGTTAGATAGTACCCTAAGCCCGGTTGACCCCCCCCAGATAAGCTGCCCTGCGAGTGCCCTGCATCGTTTGCACTGGGTTCCATTGCCGGTTCTTCGTGAGCCTGGCTTTGGTTCCCTGCTCGTCTGCACTGGGTTCCATTGCCGGTTCTTCGTGAGCCTGGCTTTGGTTCCCTGCTCGGTCTGGCGGAGGCGGTTCTTCGTGAGCCAGCCTCCAGCCGACCGAGCTAGGGCTTCGGAGCCGGTTCTTCGTGAGCCAGGCTCTGGAGTCCTTCGGTCTGGCTCGTTGCCGGTTCTTCGTGAGCCAGGCATCGATGCCGACCGAAAATTGAAAACTCAGCTGCCCTCGCCTGAGCTTTGGACTCTTGGTCAGGCTCGTTGCCGGTTCTGCGTGAGCCAGGCTTCGATGCCGATCGAGAGATCCACTGCCGGTGAAGGGCCTGAGCAGGCTCCCTGCCGGTTCTGCGTGAGCCTGGCTTGGATGCCCACCCGGATCGGCCTGGCCACCTGCCGGCGGTACCTCCATCGGGGTTCTCGCCTGGCTCGTGTGCCGGCCGGTCTGAAAAGGGATTTTTTTGGGTTTTCCCGCCCCGAGCCTGAGACCTTAGACCCCTTCTCAGGGTTCGGGATTTGTACCTTTGCTTTCGGTCCTTTAATACCCTTAGCGTTTCAGGGTTTTTTTCGGCTGGATTCGGTTTCGGGACTTCGTTTGAGTCTGTGAGGTGCCTGGGTTTCGGGATTGATTCGGATTGATGCTGTATGATGCTGTGGCCGAGGCCTGACCGCCATGCCGACTTCATCGACACCATTGGGCCAGGCACTCGACTGAATGCAAAGCAGCAGTATCCCAACATACAACATTATATTAATATTGTTGTATGTTGGGATATTGTTTTGAATTGCGAATTACGAATGATTGCACTGTATTCTGGTATGACTGAGGCCTGACCATTGGATGAGATGCAGGGTGCTCGGTTTCTGGACCGTCTTTCTAGGCACCTCCTCTGACGTTGGCTCATTGCTTTTGCCTGACTGAGGCCTGACCCGGCTGTGGACTCTGGACCACGACTGATGTCGGTGCTGCGATGCCGACAACTCAGAGGTCCGTATTATCCATTCTTGGCACGTTTACCGGTCCTGAGGCTGGAGGCTGACGACTTTGGCATCACGGGGCTCCATCTCCGAGGACTGCAGCCTGCCGTTCGCCTATTTGTTGGAAGCATGTGTGCATGCTTGAATGTGCTCGCTGTGCGTGCTGCAACTTTTTGATCAGACATGTCGTGTCATTGGACTCATGCCATGATGGCTGCCTTGGTGGCCCTGGCTGCCTGAAGCATTCACTCAACATCGACATCACACCATGCCCGCCCGGACAGCACAGCACTTCATCACATGACATGTCATATGGACATATCACAGTCACAGAGCCCTATAATTAAAGGGCTTCCCAGCTCCTGAACCCCCGGCTCCTGCCTGAAATGCCGTCGTCATCATCCAGCTCTTCGAGCTCCTCCTCGTCGTCTGAGTCTCCTGCAAGGCTGGTTTCGGCTCTGCTTTGTATGGTCTAAGCTAAGTCTTGGCCTTGTGTGAGGGTGGAACGAAAGAATCGAAAGAAGCCAAATGCACAGAAGCGAAGACAAAAGAGGCTGAAAGCAGCCGCCGAGGCGGGACTTTCATAACTCGGTTGGCCGTTTTCATTTCTTTATGTCTGTGTCGAGGCTGACAAGGTCGCCGAGGAGCTTCTGAAGCCGCCTGAGGCGGGATGTTCGCACTTCCATCTGTCTTTAGCCCTTAGCCCGGTCAGGTGCCCCCGCCCAAGAAGGAGGCTGATACATCCAGGAAGAATCAGGGCGAGGCGGGACTCGTGTACCGATTTCTTTTGTCGTCCTTAGCCTAATCATAAACCCCTGTGCCAGGAGAAGAAGCAGAAGGCGGCTGCCAAGGAGAGCTCCAAGCCTGAGGCGGGATTCTCGTATTTCGTGAGCAGCTGTCATTAGGTCGGACTGCCAGGAGAAGAAGCATAAGGCTGCCAAGGAGAGCTCCCAGCCTGAGGCGGGATTTTCGTATTTCGTGAGCAGCTGTCATTTAAAATAATTAACTCGGCCAGGTCCATCCGAAGAAGCTTCCGAAGGAGCACTCGAGGGCTGGACTTGCGTGAGCATTCATGTGGCCTTAGCCTTATTCTGAGAACCCGGGCAGGACGACAAGAAGGCGTCTGAGAAGGCGGCGGAGAGCTCCTCAAAGAAGGCCTTCACCCTTGGAAAGTTTCAATCTCGTCTCCGTCAATCGCAGCCCGGCCAGGCCAAGAAGAGCAAGGATGAGGAGGCTCAGGCTGAAAAGGAGAAGAAGAAGAAAGTGGAAAAGGAGGCTTTAAGCTTTGCCGCTTAAAATAAAAAGCCACAATCTTTGGTCCTTAAACCCGAGCCCGGCCAGGTTGCGGAGGTGAAGCCTGACAAGAAGACAGAGGCCCGTTTTTCTTGCAGTAATCACGAAAGTCTTAAAGCCGAAGCCCCCGGAGGACAAGGCGAAGACCTCGGAGCCCTCCTCGAGCAGCAAGCCCATCGTGACTGAGGCACGTTTTTTGACACATTGGCTCGAGCATTGGTCCTGAAAATCATTATAACCTGCCTGCCCAGGCTGAGACTCAGACTGAGGGAAAGGGAAAGGGCAAGGGAAAGGACAAGTCCCCTAGCAAGGGAAAGGGCAAAGGCAAGGCCAAAGGGTCGAAGAAGAAGAAGAAAGATAAAGGAAAGAAGAAGGATAAGAAGGAGAAAAAAAAGCAGAAGAAAGAGAAGAAGGATAAGAAGGAGAAGAAAGAGAAAAAGGAGAAGGAGGACAAGAAAGAGAAAAAGGAGAAGGAGGACAAGAAAGAGGCTGAGGAGAAAAAGAAGGAGACTGGACAGACTCTGAACTGTGTTTGCATTATCAATGTGCATTACCAATCCAGTTGCAGGAGGATGACTCCTTCGACAAGATGCTGGAAGATCGGCTGAAAGAGCAGTCGTTCGATTCGTTGCTGGGCCTCTTTACCCGTCGGGCCACACTGCTGGTTACCTTGAAGGACCAGGTGAAGGCCGGTTCCGCCGATGTTGCATTGTCATTTTATGTCACTGTGAACTTCTCTCCGAGTGTCCTGCCTGCCGCCAGCATGCCCTGGACCGCTTCGGGCTTTCGAAGTTCTACTGCCCCAAGCCGAACAATGAGGTGCACCGCCTCGAGCTCATGTCGGTCACTTGGCCGGCCATGATGTTATTTTAACAGTGTATGCGACATGTTCGGCACCGATGATAAGTTTAAAACTTGACATCACTCAATCAGCCAAGGCTTTGCGCTACGAAATCGTGCACCAAGAAGCCCAGCTGCTGTGGTGGTTGACGAACCATGAGGTTGACTTCCACAAGTGGTCTCGACCGCTTGGAAATTGCCTCCTCGTGGAGCCTGAAAAGGTGAAGCCTGAGGTTGCACTTAGAAAGCTTCCACCGTTGCCACCACCTCCCTCAGGGATGGCGGGCACGTTTCTTGTTACCCCGCGTGGCATGGTTTTTCAAAGACCTTAGCCTGATCTCTGGCCACTGACTGATGACTGATTAAAAGTATACTACAGTTTAGTCAGACTTGGCAAAACTTCAATCAAACCATGGCTACTTTAAGCTGCGGGCTGTGCTTGTGGCCAGTGGTCGGAGAAGCCAAAAGGCATTGCCTGAGGGTCATTCAGGCTGATCCTGGTCGTACAGCTGCAGCGAGCAGTGACCAAAAAAGAGCTGACTGACTGTCACAACTTTGCCAGCTTTTTTGCAATAACGTGCACAGAGCCATGACTGCTTTTGGGAAGGACTCCTCCTTCTGTTTCGTCTGGGC